TCTGTTCAGTGTGGTTTAATAATCACTGCTGAGAGTCCAAACACTGAAGAGCAAATCCATCCATGCGCAGCTCTACAGATCCAGAATCATGCAAGCCAGTGGCGACAGCGGCAAGGAAAAAACTTCACCAATTGGCGAAAGCGAAGAATTAATAAACCTCGAGAGAAACCAGACACCACCATTTCTCCAATGGCCAAACGTCTTGTGCAGAGCTGCAGTCTAGGCTCCGGAGATTGGAGAATGCTGGACCTCAGCGAGACTCGTCTGTCCCTGGAGCGTCACAGAAATCGGTCTCATGCTCTCCACTCCTCCATGACCACCACAGCAGCTGCTCAGGATACAGCCTGGTCCAGGATTATGGAAACCTTGGGATCATCTCTTCGCTGGTCTCTAAATGAGAAGGCTTGACCTCCTTTACTCGACTTTGCTTTTCTAGGTACTACCAGAAGCCTTGAGTTTTGAGATCTTAAAGAAAGTGTTGGATTGTAGCGAGACAGAAGGTTGGTTAGATAAACAGGAGCTAGATTATTTAAAGCTTTATAGGTAAGAACAGGGCCGGCGCGTCCATAGAGGCGACCTAGGCGGCGGCCTAGGACGGCAGATTAGAGAGGGCGGTGTCCCCGACATTACCCTCAGCACTCACGCCCTCAGTTATATCCGCGTCTAGGGCTGCGTCCACGACACTACCCACATCACCCGCGCCCTCAGTTATATCCGCGTCTAGGGCTGCGTCCACGACACTACCCACATCACCCGCGCCCTCAGTTATATCCGCGTCTAGGGCTGCGTCCACGACACTACCCACATCACCCGCGCCCTCAGTTATATCCGCGTCTAGGGCTGCGTCCACGACACTACCCACATCACCCGCGCCCTCAGTTATATCCGTGTCTAGGGCTGCGTCCACGACACTACCCACATCACCCGCGCCCTCAGTTATATCCGTGTCTAGGGCTGCGTCCACGACACTACCCACATCACCCGCGCCCTCAGTTATATCCGTGTCTAGGGCTGCGTCCACGACACTACCCACATCACCCGCGCCCTCAGTTATATCCGCGTCTAGGGCTGTGTCCACGACACTACCCACATCACCCGCGCCCTCAGTTATATCCGCGTCTAGGGCTGCGTCCACGACACTACCCACATCACCCGCGCCCTCAGTTATATCCGCGTCTAGGGCTGTGTCCACAACACTACCCACATCACCCGCGCCCTCAGTTATATCCGCGTCTAGGGCTGCGTCCACGACACTACACACATCACCCGCGCCCTCAGTTATATCCGCGTCTAGGGCTGTGTCCACGACACTACCCACATCACCCGCGCCCTCAGTTATATCCGTGTCTAGGGCTGCGTCCACGACACTACCCACATCACCCGCGCCCTCAGTTATATCCGCGTCTAGGGCAGCGTCCACGACACTACCCACATCACCCGCGCCCTCAGTTATATCCGCGTCTAGGGCTGTGTCCACGACACTACCCACATCACCCGCGCCCTCAGTTATATCCGTGTCTAGGGCTGCGTCCACGACACTACCCACATCACCCGCGGCCTCAGTTATATCCGCGTCTAGGGCTGTGTCCACGACACTACCCACATCACCCGCGCCCTCAGTTATATCCGCGTCTAGGGCTGCGTCCACGACACTACCCACATCACCCGCGCCCTCAGTTATATCCGCGTCTAGGGCTGTGTCCACGACACTACCCACATCACCCGCGCCCTCAGTTATATCCGCGTCTAGGGCTGCGTCCACGACACTACACACATCACCCGCGCCCTCAGTTATATCCGTGTCTAGGGCTGCGTCCACGACACTACCCACATCACCCGCGCCCTCAGTTATATCCGTGTCTAGGGCTGCGTCCACGACACTACCCACATCACCCGCGCCCTCAGTTATATCCGCGTCTAGGGCTGTGTCCACGACACTACCCACATCACCCGCGCCCTCAGTTATATCCGCGTCTAGGGCAGCATCCACGACACTACCCACATCACCCGCGCCCTCAGTTATATCCGCGTCTAGGGCTGTGTCCACGACACTACCCACATCACCCGCGCCCTCAGTTATATCCGCGTCTAGGGCTGTGTCCACGACACTACCCACATCACCCGCGCCCTCAGTTATATCCGCGTCTAGGGCTGCATCCACGACACTACCCACATCACCCGCGCCCTCAGTTATATCCGCGTCTAGGGCTGTGTCCACGACACTACCCACATCACCCGCGCCCTCAGTTATATCCGCGTCTAGGGCTGCATCCACGACACTACCCACATCACCCGCGCCCTCAGTTATATCCGCGTCTAGGGAGGCAGAATAGACAGGGCGGTGTCCACGACACCCTCATCACCTGCGCCCTCAGTTATATACACATCTAGGGCGGCAGATTAGAGAGGGCGGCGTCCCCGACATTACCCTCACCTTTCTCGCCCTCAGTTATATGCGCGTCTAGGGCGGGGTCCGAAACACTATCCTCACCACCCGCGCCTTTAGTTATATCCGCGTCTAGGGCGGCATCCATGACACTACCCACATCACCCGCGCCCTCAGTTATATCCGCGTCTAGGGCAGCGTCCGCGACACTACCCTCACCACTCGTGCCCTTAGTTATATCCGTGTCTAGGGCGGTAGAATAGAGAAGGCGGCGTCCGCGACACCCTCATCATCCGCGTCTAGGGCGGCAGAATAGAGAGGGTGGCATCCGCGATAGCTTCCTCACCCCCATTACCCCCCTTACCTTAGGGTTGTGGGTGGCGTGACCGTCCTTTGCCTAGAGCGAAAGTTCAGCTTGCTCCGGCCCTGGATAAGAAGCAATATTTTAAATTCAATACGAAACTTAACAGGCAGTTAGTGTAAGGAGGATAACGTTGGGGTGATCTGTATGTTATATTTTGTAGACCTGGTAATAACTCTGGCGGCTAGCTGAAGTTGGTTAGAGAGGATGCTGGGCAGCCAGCAAACAGAGCATTGCAGTAATCAAGCCTAGAGGTCATAAAAGCATGAACTAGCCTTTCTGCATCAGAGATGGATAGCATACCTTGTAACTTAGCGATATTTCTCAGATGAAAGAAGGCAGTTTTTGTGACATGGGATTTATGATTTTCAAAAGTAAAATTGCTGTCTAATATGACACCCAGATGTTTTATAGTAGCGCTAATGCTAACTTTGCATCCCTCTAATTGTAGGGATAAAAAGTTATGTATACAGCTATACAAATATACTCCTGATTTACTGTGATGAATGCACAGCATTTCCTCTACCTGAGAGCCAAATCTAATAGCTATAGGATTCTATGCGTTAGAAGAAAAGATGAAAGGTTTTTTAGATCTTATTAAGAGTATTGTTAGTTTTAAGGTTATCTATAAGCTAGTGCGCAAAGGGACAAAATTCACATTTAGGGTATATAAACCTGACATAAACATCTAAATCTTGCAGATTGTCATCCGCCTAAATAGATCAACCATTTTTGTTCCATCTCCTCATACTTTAGTTTCTCATCAAATCTTCTGACCAATCAAATGCTCTCTTGTGTGACATGCCCCGCCCCCTTCTTCTCATTGGCTGTTCATTTAATGCGCCCGAGCTCATCCACTCTCACTGGCAGAGCTGTGAACAAGCAAAACGCTATTGGCTGTTTTTCTTTTTAAAAAAGGGGGAGGGGCTACTCAATGCCCCACCCTTTCTCCATGTTTTAATTGAGATTACGTCAAACATCGAATAAAAAAATGCACATTTCAAAGCATTTCACAGGAGCTCTAAAGTCTACAAAAGGCATGAGTGTACTTCCCCTAATAAAACAGCCCTTTCTTCCTATCAGTGGTCAGTCAAGCGGTTTTTCCTCCTTCCTTGTTCCTGCACTGTTTCTTCATAAGACAGTCATTCTTCAACAGGAGAAAAAGGCCAGCCTGAGTAAACACAATACAGCTGCAGAGAGTGAAAAGCCTTTATTGTGTAATCATGACGCCTGTAAAAGAGGAACAGTGCCTAATATACATCACTAAACACAGTAGATGAGTGATAAAGAGTTTCCAGCAGGAAGACCGACTGATAAAACAATGATTTCAGCCGTTTCTCTAAAGCCTAACCCTGTTTCTTTCACACCTGAATATGAGTGTTAGATGTTCTGCTATATATAACTCACATTACTTTATTCCATTATACATTAGGTGAGATCTGCTTTAACATTATGCTGACAGTGTTACATCACTTTTAATGAAGCCGCATTAAAGGTTTACTGCATTCAAATGATCAATTTTTTTCAGCTTAGTCTCTTATTAGTCAGTGGTCTCCACAGTGGAATGAACCGCCAACTATTCCAGCATATGTTTTACGCAGCGGATGCCCTTCCAGCTGGGAAACACCCACCATTCACACACACGCTCACTATACGGCCAATTTAGTTGATCAATTCCCCTATAGCGCATGTGTTTGGACTGTGGGGGAAACCGGAGCACTCGGAGGAAACCCACATCAACACGGGGAGAACATGCAAACTCCACACAAAAACGTCAACTGACCCAGCCGGCATTCACCCAGCGACCTTCTTACTGTGAGGCCACAGTGTTAACCTGGCACACCATGCTGCCAGGTTTCTTTTAATTAACTAATAAAAAACAATTCTTAAATTAAATATGAAAATATATTTAAACTTATTTCAACTACGTTGCCGAGTAGTAAAAGCTAAAGCTAGCTTTTAGCCATAGCGCTACTTCTCTTTTTATGTAGCTACTAAAGCTAACAAAAACACTCAATATAATTGCTAAAGCTTCAAATGAAGTGGCATAACAGTAAAACTAATTCATAATATTTAAAATAAATTGATAGTATGTGGATTTAGTGCAACATTTAAACATTTGCGGATCATATAAGATCAGCGGGTGTCAAGTGAATAACAGTGATCGCCATGACCGTCAGTCCAGCAGAAGGCGCTGATTCACTCTTCAGCTGTTCTGATCGCCGCCAACAATCGACGAAGAAGGACGGATTCAACGCTTTCAAACAAACATGGCGGCGCAGGAGGTGTTGACGGCTTCACACGTGGAGAAAAAGGCAAAGAAAAAGGTGAATTTAGTTTATCCGGCTCTCACTGCAATAATACCCTCTTAATTATAGCGGTGTGAATCTATTTGTTCATATCAGAGACTCAAAGACACTCACTGTGAAGACGCTGTCAACAAATAAAAGTCCCCTCGTTCGCTGATTTCAGCTTTATACTGTTGTAATCGACATTTCGTGTGATTTAACCCTATTTTTTACTGTCGATTATTAATTTAATGTTACAAGAATACATTTATCACTTACTTGTATATGGCTTATCTTGTACAATTCGGTTCACGGTTGTCTGCAATCAACAATAATGCAGAAAAGTTGTTGTTTACCTGATACTTATGCAGATTCACAGAGTCAGCGATATATATTATGTAGGTTTATATAATATGTTATTTTTAAAATTAATTGAATAAGTCACTAAATTCTAAGACTAGAATATATTAAGTATGTATTTATTATATTGTTACCAAAACAGTGCCTCAATAATGCTCTTAGATTTTTTAAATACATTTAGTCTGTATTAAACGTGCCTTTTAAAATCCCAATAGCATCAGAAAGTGCTGTATTTATGTTTAATAATGTGTTTATTAACTATTATTTGACATATCAAAGTACCATTGGGATATCGGTTAAATTGTTTGTCTGTTAGATTTGGTTATTGTTGGGTTTAAATTAACTTAATAGATATTTTTGCATCATTTTAATAATTGTAGTTGTTTTTTTTTTTACATTTTTATTGGATAGCAAAGTTCTAGAAAAGAGAAGTAATTTAAAAACTATATAAATAGTTTACTGACATATTTTATCTTAATAAGTTTATATTTTAACACTTCAAAAACCATTTGGACTCAATTTTGTCACCATTCCTATTGCTAATGGTCATCTGTATTCAATGAAAGACCGAAAACAGATGATTTCTGAACATGCTTGTGTTTTTACTCACTCTGAAGCCTGCAAAGCGCTATTGGGAAGAAACAGAAAACACAGAGCAAAACAAAGCAACCGAAGAGGAGAGTAAAGATGAGCAGAAGCAGAAACCCCACACAGAGAAGAGGAAGAAAGAAGAACGTTTACTGTCAGGGGTAAAAGTTTTCTCTTTGCTAATTAAGCTAAAGTTGGTTTTATATTTACACATTCGTTAATATTTGGATGGTTTGCAGGCCAAAAGTTTGTGAAAGTCAGTATTTCAGCAGCTCTTCTGATTGGTTGTTTAGAAAGAAGACCCTTTTCCTGGAGAGAAGCCGATCCCACAGAAGCAGCTGCGCACGTTTCAGAGAGGACAGAAACACAAAGTGGTGAGTCATGAATCGACATTTAGGGCTCGACGATGTGGACCACAATTCATAATACAAATTCTGCTATATATTTATTAGTGTCCACCGATGTGCTTTTGCGTTGCAGAAGAGTTCTTCTTTTAGTCTGCCTCATAATAAAGTATGCATTGATGCAATGTGTCTGACAATGCTTAGAATATAATACAGCGTAATATAACATCTATTATAATATAGTGAGTTTTGAGTAAAACCATCATTATATGTGGTATTTGCATGTGCTTTTCAGGTTTAACATTGGCAACAAAGAGCTGTAGTGTACTGAGAAGCTACCTTAGCGGCTGTCAATATTGCAGAATTATTATTTGCATGAAATGTTTTGCACAGCTTGTCAGAAAACTATGGCTCTGTGTAGTAAGCATGAAATTGAAACTTGAAATTGAGCACCAGAACAATCACATTTTGTGAGTATGAATCCCCTAGATGAGTGTGTGTGTGTGTGTGTGTGTGTGTGTGTGTGTGTGTGTGTGTGTGTGTGTGTGTGTGTGTGTGTGTGTGTGTGTGTGTGTTGTGTGTTGTGTGTGTGTTGTGTGTTGTGTGTGTGTTGTGTGTTGTGTGTGTGTGTGTGTGTGTGTGTGTGTGTGTGTGTGTGTGTTTCAGCCTGCACGAGCCGGTCCGAAGCTGAAACATGCCATCACGTCCTCTGAGTCTCTGTCTGAACTGGCTCAGAAACAGGCTGCACGATACGGTCTCCTGCTCCCAGAGGATGCTGGGTAATGAACAGCACACATTTCAACTTTCAATAGAAACCCTCAAAAGAATGATCAATAAAAAATACACAATAAACAGTTTCTGTATTTTAAGTGTTTTGGGTTTATTTCTGGTTGTGAATTACATTATGGGATGTTGATCTCTGCTCTGTCCACTCTTAATGATGAAAATGCAATATATTAAATGTACTTCGTGTGACTTGAACACTGCCGCTACTTATGTTAGTTATTAAATGAATTATGCTTAATATGGTAAAAGTGCACAATTAGCTGATTTGTGTGTGTGTGTGTGTGTGTGTGTGTGTGTGTGTGTGTCAGGTTTCTGGAAGGAGACGATGGTGAAGACACGTGCACCATCGCTCAGGACGATATTGCAGATGCTGTGGACATCACATCTGGAGCGAAGGTGAATTTACACACCGTAAACTGAGGAAAAAACCTGAGAAACATCAATAAATAAATTAATTACTCCCTTAAAATAATGTTGTTTATGACAAAATGACACAGTAATGAATAATCTGACTCCGTAATGAACTCGAAACCAAAAAAAAAAGCAAAAAAACAAGCATTTGAATGTATTTTTAGATGAACAGTGCATTTAACATTGCTTTGCTACATGCAAAGTCCATATATACAGTTGAAGTCAGAATTATTTTGACCTCATGTGAATTTTGTATGGTGGAATATAAAAAGGAAATTGTCAACTCAAAAATTCTGAATGAGAAAATTTAGTTCTTTGTTGAATATTTGCCAAATGGTGTTGAACAGATTCAGGAATTTTTTTACAGTATTTCCTCTAATATTTGTTCTTCTGGAGAAAGTCTGATTTGTTTTATTTCGGCTAGAATAAAAGCAGTTCTTAATTGTTTTAAAGCCATTTTAAGGTCAATATTATTCACCCCTTCAGCAATATTAGTGTTGGATTGTCTCCAGAATAAACCACTGTTATACAATGACTTGCGTAATTACCCTAACTTTACCCTAATTACCCTAGTGAAGCCTTTACATGTCACTTTAAGCTGAACACTAGTGTCTTGAAGAATGTCTAGTCTAATATTATGTGCTGTCATCATGACAAAGAGAAAATGCATCAGCTATTAGAACTATTATGATTAGAAATGTGCTGAACAAATCTTCTCTCCATTAAACAGAAATTGGGGAATTTTTTTATTGTCAAGTATTGAACAGATTACAATTTGTAAAAATGACAATATGCTATACAATATTAATACAAATACAATAATTAAACACGAACGGAAAAAAACGGTATGAAAAATCAAACAAATAGATTCAAAGATTCGCTGGTGAGATTTACTTTACTATTTTTCAATCCAAGTATCAAGTCAAATGTTTCATATCTTGCGTAAATAACAAAAGATTGGGTTCACATTTAGCCCATTTCTATATGTGTATATGTGTCACTTTCCCATAATCAAACACAAATCAACAATCAAGATCACATTTGGTGGTAAACCTACTCTATAAAAACAGAAAAATACGTCTTTCTCTAAAAGATAAAACTTCATTGCTTAATATTTATGAAAGAGGTCTTCACAATATATCCAAAACATTTTAGTATAAATGTAATTTAAAAATAAGTGAACAGCATCCTCCTTTTCTGTGCCACAACAGCACATACAGTTGAAGTCAGAATTATTCACCCCCGTTTATTTTTTTTTCCTTAATTTCTGTTTAACAGAGAGAAGTTTTCAACACATTTCTAATCATAATAGCTTTAATAACTCATCTCTAATAACTGATTTATTTTCTCTTTGTCTTGATGACAGTAAATAATATTAGACTAGATATTCTTCAAGACACTAGTATTCAGCTTAAAGTGACATGTAAAGGCTTCACTAGGGTAATCAGGGTAAAGTTAGGGTAATTAGGCAAGTCATTGTATAACAGTGGTTTGTTCTGGAGACAATCCAACACTAATATTGCTGAAGGGGGTGAATAATATTGAGCTTAAAATGGCTTTTTAAAAAAATGTATATAGCCAAGCTTTTATTCTAGCCGAAATAAAACAAATCAGACTTTCTCCAGAAGAACAAATATTGTTAGACATACTGTGAAAATTTCCTTGCTCTGTTAAACATCATTAAAAAAAATGAAAAGGTGGCTAATAATTCTGACTTCCACTGTACATGCGTGCATTGCTCTTTTATTTAATTTCATTCCACATGGTGGCGCTGTAACTCTGCTGTCTTTAGTGTTACACTGAGACACACTCATAAACCTTTCCCTTTCACTAATTAAAAAACATTTAAACTGACTTCTCTGATTCTGTTCATTTGTATGTTCATTGTGTTGATTTCTCTTTCTCTCCTCGCAGTACTTCAACCTGCATCTCTCCCAGTTTGGGCCGTATAGACTTGACTACAGCAGAACTGGACGGTACGATGTAAAGCAAAACATGAATACATTTTTATTTTATATGTAAATGTATATATGTGCACAGTTGAGGGCAAAATTATTGGCCCTCTTGTGAATTATTGATTCTTTTTTTTAAAATATTTCTCAAGTGAACTTTAACCAGTTAAACTCCGCGGACAGGGTACCGTATCCGTGACGTTATCGACTTTCGCTTTAAGATTTAAAGGGCTGCATTGCACCAGACCCCCTTAAGTGGGTTCGTTTGAAAGTGTATCATCTATATTTTAGCACATATGCATCACTTTGGTTTTTATTCTACTGTACAAAAGTTATTTACACTTAAATACACAGTATTTTGGATCCCCGAGCTGGGTTTTGAACATTGGTTCATTTTCATATTTTTCATATGACACATGTACAAGTTCTAGCTCAAATGAAAGCTCTTGCCGGTGCTCATACGGTTCTAGTGTTCTTTTACTGAAATATATTCACATATCAAACAGTTGACGAATAAATCTTGGTGTTTCCATGGCGCAGAAGTGAAAGCAATACATTTATGATCAATAAGCAGCCCCAGATAGCACAGACAGCCGTCATCTTTACCTTATGCTGTGTGCTAACAATCCAACCTTAGTTTTGCGTATACCCTATTCCTCAGACTATAGCCCTACAACCAAAATCTATAATCGCTGCATGCCCACCCATAACTCTGTTTTAGAGGTTTTGAAAAACATTAACCGATGTTTCAGTAAACTGTTAACACATACTGTATGATCTCTGTGTATTTCGGCTTGAGTTTTTATGATAATGTCTTTAACAGGCACCTGTTGCTGGGCGGGAGGAGAGGTCATGTGGCCTGCTTCGACTGGCAGACCAAACACCTGATGTGTGAGATGAACGTCATGGAAACAGTTAATGACATCAAGTGAGCGTCACTGTTCTGTCCAACTTACATGCTGGAAATATTATATTATTTATTTGCTGAAATATTATATTATTTGCTATATTATTTGTTCTTCTGGAGAAAGTCTTATTTGTTTTTTTTCGGCTAGAATAAAAGCAGTTTTTAATTGTTTTAAAGCCATTTTAAGGTCAATATTATTGGCCCCTTCAGCAATATTAGTGTTGGATTGTCTCCAGAACAAACCACTGTTATACAATGACTTGCCTAATTACCCTAACTTTACCCTAATTACCCTAGTGAAGCCTTTACATGTCACTTTAAGCTGAACACTAGTGTCTTGAAGAATATCTAGTCTAATATTATGTGCTGTCATCATGGCAAAGAGAAAATAAATCAGTTATTAAACTATTATGTGCAGAAATGTTAAATGTTAAACAGAAATAAATATACAGGGGGGCTAATAATCCTGACTTCAACTGTACATCATCATCTCCTCATCTCAGGTGGCTTCACACAGAGGCCATGTTTGCTGTGGCACAGAAGAAGTGGCTCTACATTTATGACTCGAAAGGTGTGGAGCTCCACTGCATAAAGAAGTTCAACGACGTCTTGCGGATGCAGTTCCTGCCGTACCACTTCCTGCTCGCCACAGCGGTGCGTCAACAAACACCACTACACCTTCTGCAGCAGAGAGTTAGATATGGGTGACTGTGTGCTCTGCATCTGTTTGCTTAGTATTATCAATATACAGCTTAATCAGGTAAACATCTATAAGAAGTCGTTAGTTTAATGATCTGTGCCCGATTGCATTAAAGTTCTTAATCTAATTTAACTTAAGGATGGAAATAATCTCTGGGTTAATGGATTTCATTAACTACTTAGTGCTTTGAAATGTATTGTGTAGCTCCTCCCCTTTAAAAAAACAGCCAATAGTATTTCATTTTAGCACAGCTCTGCCAGTGAGAGTGGTTGAGCTCAAGAGCATCAAATGAAAAGCCAATGAGAAGAAGGGGGCGGGGCATGTCAGACATTAGTGAGCATTTGATTGGTCAGAAGATTTGATGAGAAACTGAAGTATGAGGAGACGCAAATAAAACCGTTGATTTAGCTTAATTATTTTAAATAATCTTGTTTAAATAAGAAATGTGATTAAAAAACTACATTTCCCATAATGCTGTTCTGAAAATTCCACTAATCAGTTTGTTGGAGCAAAAACACCAGAACATGTCTTTAAAATGGCTAAAATAAAGGAGGCACCTCTAATGCTGTGTTGCCAAGTCCTCTGTCATTCCACAACTTTAATTGCTTTTTGTAAAAACCACCAGCTGCATTATTTCAGTCTAATACTTTTAAAACAATCTTGTTCAAATAAATAAAATAAAAAATGCAAATGTGGTTAAAAAACTACATTTCCCATGATGCTGTTCTGAAAGTTAGTTTGTAGGAGCAGGAACATCGGAACATCTTTTTAATGCCTGAAATAAAGTAGGCAGCACTAGTGCAGAGTTGCCAAGTCCACAGTTATTCCACAACTTTACTGGCTTCTTTGAAACCGCCAGCCACAGTATTTTAGTCTAACACTTTTAAAACAATCTTGTTAAAAGAAATAAATTAAAATGTGGTTAAAAACTACATTTCCCATGATGCTGTTCTGAGATTTCCATTAGTTTGTAGGAGCAGAAACACCGTAGAACATCTCTATAAAATGCCTGAAAAAAGTAGGCAGCACTTTATGTAGAGTTGCCAACTCCTCTGTTATTCCACAACTTTACTGGCTTCTTTGAAGCTGCCATCTGCATTATTTTAGCCTAATGCTTTTAAAGCAATGTTGTTAAAATAAATAAATAAATAAATACAAACTTGTGATTTAAAAACTACACTTCCCATGATGCTGTTCTGAAAATCAGTTTGTTGGAGCAAAAACACCAGAACATCTTTTTTAAATGCCTGAAAAAAATAGGCAGCACTAATGCTGTGTTGCCAAGTCCATAGTTATTCCACAACTTAACTGGCTTCTTTGAAACCACCAGCTGCATTATTTTTATCTTAATTATCTTAAACAATCTTGTTAAAATAAATTAAATAAAAGTACAAATAAGGTTAAAAAACTACATTTCCCATGAAGCTCTTCGAAGTATTCCACCAATGAGTTTGTAGAAACAAAAACACCCCAGAACATCTCTTTTTAATGCCTTAAATCAGGGATCACCAAACTTGTTCCTGGAGGGCCGGTGTCCTGCAGATTTGAGCTCCAACCCTAATCAAACACACCTGAACAAGCTAATCAAGCTCTTACTAGGTATACTAGAAACACCCAGGCAGGTGTGTTGAGGCAAGTTGGAGCTAAATCCTGCAGGGACACCGGCCCTCCATAACTGAGATTGGTGACCCCTGCCTTAAATAAAGCAGGCAGCACTTATGCAGTGTTGCCAAGTCTTCAGTTATTCCACAACTTTGCTGGCTTTTTTTTAAATCACCAGCCGCATTATTTTAACCTAATACTTTTAAACAATCATGTTTAAATAAAAAACGAAGATACAAACGTAGTTTAAACACTACACTTCCCATGATGCTGTTCTGAAAATCAGTTTGTAGGAGTAAGAACACCAGAACATCTCTTTAAAATGCCTGAAAAAAAAGTTGGGCACACCAGAACATCTCTTTAAAATGCCTGAAAAAAAAGTTGGGCGCACATATGCCAGTGTTGCCAAGTCCTCTGTTATTCCACAACTTTGAAACCACCAGCCACATTATTTTAAACAATCTTGATTCTTTTAAACAATCTTGTTAATTTAAATTAATTATTAAGCAAATGTGGTTTAAAAACAACACTTCCCATGATGCTGTTCTGAAAAATCCACCAATCAATTTGTAGGAGCAAGAACACCACATCTTTTTAATGCCTGATAAAAGTGGGCAGCACTAATGTCGTGTTGCCAAATCATCTATGTTTTTCATTTCATCTGTGTCCATGGTGTTGTCATCCTATCCCATCATCCCTGGGCAAATTTACTACCCTTTCCTTATATTCGTTTCTGTTTTTGCCCCATTGACTTCCACTATAACCACATGTTTTGTTTGCAGAGCCATGACTGGTTGGTGGGTTTTCTTGTTGATAGCCTCTTGAAATTTCCCTAGAAAGACCATTGGGGTATTTTTAGTTTGAAAACCAAACCTGGCAACCCAGCACTACTTCAAACCAGACTGTACCAAATGTATTGCGTTTTCCAATGGTATTTCAGGATTTCTGTCAGTGTAATAACAGTGGTTTGATCTTTCAGAGTGCCACAGGCTTTCTGCAATACCTGGATGTGTCGATCGGTAAAGAGATCGCGGCCATCTGCACAAAATCTGGCCGTCTGAACGTGATGACGCAGAATCCCTATAACGCCATCATCCACCTGGGACACACCAACGGCACCGTCAGCCTGTGGTCGCCCAATCAGAAAGAGCCTCTGGTGAAGATGCTGTGCCATCGAGGGGCGGTTCACTCTGTAGCGGTGGACAAAACCGGCACGTGAGTATCAAGTTAGAGTTAGGGAAATAGGGCAAGTCATTGTATAACAGTGGTTTGTTCTGGAAATGTATTCTAAAATGAATAAATGTTTGTTTACTGCAGGTATATGGTGACGTCGGGTCTGGATAGGAAGTTGAAAGTGTATGACATCAGAGCTTTCAAACCCTTCCACTCCAGTTTCCTGCCAGCGGGAGCCTCGTGTCTGTCTCTAAGTCAGAGAGGACTGCTGAGCGCCGCTACTGGAGATGTTGTACAGGTGAGACACATACACAAGCAACACTCTCTGGGTTAATTTGATTTATCATTCATTCATTCATTCATTCATTTTCTGCCGCTTTTCCGGGGCCGGGTCATGGGGGCAGCAGTCTTAGGAGAGAACCCCAGACTTCCCCCTCCCCAGACACTTCCTCCGGGGGGATCCTGAGGCGTTCCCATGCTAGCCGAGAGACATAGTCCCAATATGTTAATCATAATATTGGCTTTTTAAAGGAGACATATTACACCCCTTTTTACATCATGTAAAATAAGAGTGTCTCAAGAGTGTATAGTGAATTTTGAGCTCAAAATAGCACACAGATAATGTTCTCTAACTCTCTGAAACGGACCCTCTCAGGCTTTGATCCTAATTGTGGTGTTTTGGTGCCTGTCGCTTTAAATGCAAATGAGATTGTGCTCATTTCAGTAGAGGGTGGAGCTACAAATGCCTGTGTGTCAGCATAGTGGCAGATGTAAAACAGCACTTGCTGTGTTCATAGTGCTGGTCAGGTGTGCTTCAGTGTGAGTGTGTGCTTGATACTTCTGTCAGTCTCCTGTCGCTGTTCATCTAAAACTCCACATCTATATTCCTCTTAGTCTATGCTGACATTATCCTCAGCAGCTCTAATGGCTAACGGACAGACGGCTGCTTCTCACTCAGGGCTGCTGTTTATGCTAATGAGGGAGAGATGGGCACTAGTGGGCGGGGCTTTCCCCCTTTGATGACACGTATAAAGGGAGAATGTCAATCAAATGTCACTGTTTTGGTGCAAACTAGCTTATAGAGATCTTAAAAGCCGACATCTAAAACTAGCAAACTTCATTTATGTTTAATGGGACCATTAATAATTTTTTTTAATTTTCTGGTAAAATATTGAGATAAAATTCTGGATCATATCTCAATCCCCCTACAGCAATATGTGAGTTTCTTTACGCCAGTTTACTACATGTTTTCCCCTGATGTTTGACTTGTGTGTACCTTTAGGTGTATCAGAACGTTTGGGGAAGCACTCCTGTGTCCAAACCCTACATGGCGCACCGTCTGCGAGGACAGGTCTGCGGAGTGGCGTACTGCCCCTTCGAGGACGTTCTTGGAATTGGACACGGCCAGGGCTTCACTAGTATGATCGTACCAGGTAAACCAATAAATAAATGCGTCAGTGTTTACACACAGCTCACTCAGGGTTTCCCACTGCTCATGGCAGTCTTTTTATAGTTGAGTTATTAGCCCACTGTATAGACCTTTAAAATGGTCAAAACAAATTTAAAGAGGTGGTTCACAATGGGTTTTTAAAGGTTTATGGGGTGCAAAACAGTGTGTTCGTGATTCATTTGTAAAAAAAAAAATCACGTTATTTGTTCACATTCATTCATTTGTCGGAGCATTCTCTGTAAACCCTAGAGATGGTTGTGCGTGAAAATCCCAGTAGATCAGCAGTTTCTGAAATACTCAGAGCAGCCCGTCTGGCAGCAACAACCGTGCCACAATCAAAGTCTCTTAAATCCCCTTTCTTCCCCATTCTGATGCTCACTCTGACCTGCAGCAGATCGTCTTGACCATGTCTACATGCCTAAAGTTGCTGATTGGCTGATTATAAATTTGCATTAACGAGCAGTTGGACAGGTGTACCTAATAAAGTGGCCAGTGAGTGTATAATACAATATACAGACTATTTGATTTGTTCTTTTAGTTTCTGTACCTGAACACTGCTCAAAGAAAACAAAGCACTGCATATTTCACTTTTATCTTTGCTCTGTTGAATCTATATTGTATTTATTTCATTTATTTAGTATTAATACTTGCTATTTATTGTATTTTATACAGATGTAATGCATCTAAATGAATGATTTATATCCAAATAAAGCTATTCAAGTCATCTGTTGAAATGATCATATCACAATATACATATCACAGAAAAACAAAAGATCGCAATGCAGCTCTAACATTGCAAACTTTGAGTGCATGCAAACTCCAAATAGAAATGGGTTGTAGTTACAGATGGACCCACAAACAGGACATCCACTCAACATAACAAGAAGTGAGAATTGTGTGTGGGTGTGCTCATGGTAACTGCTTTTCCGATGCCTGGTTCTTGTTTCGTGTCAGTGTGTCTGCATAACAAGAGGAAGTTGCTAAGAAAGTAGACTTAACATGATTATACTCGAGTTACAACTTTAGGACAGGGGTCACCAAACTTGTTCCTGGAGGGCCGGTGTCCTGCAGATTTCAGCTCCAACCCTAATCAAACACACCTGAACAAGCTAATCAAGCTCTTACTAGGTATACATAAAACACCCAGGCAGGAGTGTTGAGGCAAGTTGTAGCTGAACTCTGCAGGGACACCGGCACTCCAGCACCGAGATTGGTGACCCCTGCTTTAGGAAATAAAAATAGTAACCTGGTTAGTCAAACACCTATTTTTACTGCACTGCAAAAAATCCTTGAAAATGACTGAACACTAAATGGCTAAACCGAATCAGAGTCGAGTTAGTAGTTTTAAACACGCTGCACTTTCAGATTTACCCTCAGCTGGATGTTTTCCTTCTTCATTTTCAAAAACCCATCACAGGGGCTCTTTAAATTTCGATCTGCTCCTGTGCATCAGATTTCTCCTCGTGTTTTTGCAGCAAAGGGCACTTCAACCAATCACACACATTACTCTGAGGCCAAACAAGGGTGTATTAATTTGCTGTAGATCACTTCAGTGAATATTAATGGAGGTTTTGCGAGTATGTAATATGTTTGTGATTAAAAACATTGATGAACTCATTTGCTGATTATTGACCTTATTCTTTACGTATGAGCGGGTGCAGCCGTTTGAATGTTTTTGCCTCGAGACGTCCGCTCTCATTCACCACCATTGATTTTTAGACATTAAAAACGGCTCGTTTTGCTGCTTCATGTTGCAAACTGATATTTTTATATTATATTATTCTACATTTTGTGTATAGTTATGAAAACGGTTCGACTGGTTTCTGCCGGCTTTTATTACTAGTCATTTCTTCCGAATGCAACTGAATCACTTCCGCATTGTAGAATAAGTAAGAATTGTTAGATATATAGTATTATAAAATATATAGTATTAAATATATAGTGTTATAAAATATATATAGTATTATAAGTTATATAGTATTATATAATATATAGTATTAAATATAAAGTATATAGTATTATAAAATCTATAGTATAAAATATATAGTATTATAAAATATATAGTAATAATTATATGGTATAATAAAATATGTAATATTATAAAATATATAGTAAAAAATATATAGTATTATTAAATATATAGTATTATAAAAGATATATTATCAAATATATAGTATTATAAAATAGTATAAAATATGTAGTATTATAAAATATCTAGTATTAAATATATCGTATTATAAAATATATAGTATTATAAAATATATAGTATTAATTATATATAGTATTATAAAATATATATTATATATGTAGTATTAAATATATAGTATTATAAAATATAGTTTTAAATATAGTATTGTAAAATAAATAGTATAAAATATCTAGTATTAAATATATAGTATTATAAAATATATATTATTATAAAATATGTAGTAATAATTATATGGTATAATAAAATATGTAGTATTATAAAATATATAGTATTAAATATATAGTATTATAAAATATATAGTACTAATTATATGGTATAATAAAATATATAGTATTAAATATATAGTATTATAAAATATATAGTACTAATTATATGGTATAATAAAATATATAGTATTAAATATATAGTATTATAAAATATATAGTAATTATTATATGGTATAATAAAATATGTAATATTATAAAATATCTAGTATTAAATATATAGTATTATAAAATATAAAGTGTTATAAAATATATAGTATTAAATATATAATATTATAAAATATATAGTAATAATTATATAGTATAATAAAATATGTAGTATTATAAAATATATAGTATTTAATATATATAGTATTATAAAATATATAGTATTAAATATATAGTATTATAAAATATGTATTATTAAATATATAGTATTATAAAATATATAGTAATAATTATATAGTATAATAAAATATGTAGTATTATAAAATATATAGTATTTAATATATATAGTATTATTAAATATATAGTATTAAATATATAGTATTATAAAATATATAGTAATAATTATATGGTATAATAAAATAGGTAGTATTATAAAATATATAGTATTTAATGTATAGTATTATAAAATATATAGTGTTATAAAATATATAGTATTAAATATATAATATTATAAAATATATAGTATTAAATAAATATATTGTTATAAAGGAAGGCATTTAAAAGCAATAATTGATTTAATTTGCATGTTTGCCATGTGCATAAATGTGGACGTTATTTAACGTAGCATTAGAAAATAAACTATATGTACTGTACATTCATACAAACACCACATAAGCATCAAAATCAGTGAGGGAAATTATTTTTCAGTCTGTTTTAGTGTATTACAGTATATTTTTAGTATATGTATCATGAATATCATTCATTCATTTTCTTGTCTGCTTAGTCCCTTTATTAATCTGGGGTTGCCACATCGGAATGAACCGCCAACTTATCCAGCAGGTTTTTACACAGCGGATGCCCTTCCAGCCGCAACCCATCTCTGGGAAAGTCTCATGAATATGCTGATTTATTTATTTTTGGTTAACCGTGCTTTATTATTTGTCTCTCCAGGTGCAGGAGAACCGAATTTCGACGCTCTCGATACGAACCCGTACCGCAGCGCTAAACAGAGGCAGGAGTGGGAGGTCAAGGCTCTGCTGGAGAAAGTGCAGCCCGAGCTGATCGGTCTGGATCCCGGACTGCTGAGTAAAGTGGACCAGGCCAGCTTTGAGCAGAGACACAAGGAACGGGTTGAAGTAATGGTGAGTCGGCCTGACGCTATTAATGGTGATTTTTAATCAAACTGATGACTGTGATTGTTTGAACTGTCATCTGCTTGTTGCACGAGTGTTAAAATGTCCTTCAAAGTTTGTACGATATACATCACATAATAGTGTGTGTGAACTGCATGTCATTTAAGCTGACACACACATCTGAATGTAAATATAGTGTGATTGTACTCGAGTGAGTGTTTACCATAACCATAGTATAAAAGGAACATTAGTGTTGACTTTGTCTTGTCTGTTTCAGGGATTTGATCCTTTGGCGAAACAGAAATTCAAGCCGCGGATGAGGAAGAAGGGAAGAAGCTCTGCAGGCGCTGTAGAGAAGAGAAAGAGGAAAGTCGCCCATGAAGATCAGAGGGTATGTCATCTCTCTCTGTCGCTCTGCCGTTTGTTTTAGTGGAATTTGGTAAAGGCAAGTTTCTGATTCTTCTAATAAGCTTAAGATTAAGTCATCCTGGTGTGTTTGGGATCATCTTATGCCTTCTTGACAATGGCTAGAATGTCTGACAGCATTGCAGGAGATCAAGAACTATATATAGATCATGAGAATCTAAAGAAATCATATATAGAAGCTAGAATATCATAGACTTGAGGAATTTTAACAGCAAGTCTTGTTTCTCTTTGAACTATACAAACTGTATTAGAATGTTTTCTAGTGTTTATTGCATACTTTAATTGATTTATTTATTTATTTAACATACCTTTCAACATTGGGATGAGAAAATAAGGAAAAATCAATGCACTAATATAGAAATTAAAGTTATGAAATCTCATTCACATTTTTTAATCGCTGTATAATTTAAATATACAGTTGAAGAGAGCGATCCGGTTACATTTTAATTATTTTATATTTTTTACCCAATTTCTGTATTTTTTATTTAGCAAATTTCTGATCATAATAGTTTTAATACCTCATCTCTAATAACTGATTTATTTTATCTTTGCCATGATGACAGATATTCTTCAAGACACTAGTGTTCAGCTTAAAGTGACATGTAAAGGCTTCACTAGGGTAATTAGGGTAAAGTTAGGGTAATTAGGCAAGTCATTGTATAACAGTGGTTTGTTCTGGAGACAATCCAACACTAATATTGCTGAAGGGGCGAATAATATTGACCTTAAAATGGCTTTAAAACAATTAAGAACTGCTTTATTCTAGCCGAAATAAAACAAATCAGACTTTCTCCAGAAGAACAAATAATATAGCAAATAATGTGAAAAATTCCTGAATCTGTTCCAACATCATTCGGGAAATACTAGACGAAATCTCTCATTTATATTTTTGAGTTGTCATGATTTCTCCTCTATTGTGATTCTGCAGGATGAAATCCGACAGACTGTTGAAGAGAAGATGAAACGACAGAAAGAGCAGAAAGAGAGGAGCGACGAGAGGAAAGAGCTGGAGAAGAAATCAGCGCTGGATCGCTTTAAGAAGTGAAGATGTCTGATGTACATCGAGAACAGTGTTGCTCATCTGCCGCACACACTGGCAGATTACAGGACACGACTGTTTTATAATAAAATATCCTGATGTCATTTCTGTGCTTCCTTCAGTGTGTGTGTGTGTGTGTGTGTGTGTGTGTGTGTGTGCGCGCACGTGTGCTCCATCTCAAAGTCTTCTTTAAGCAAAAAATGACCAATAAAAAGGTGTGAAGCAGCAATTTTATTTATATTTTTAAAAGATACACATTTGTACCCAAATAGTCCACAGTGCATATTCGTACCCTAATGCTACTAAAAAGTACATTTGAGGTACCACTGTGGACCCTTCAGGTACAAATATGCACCTTTTAAAAAGATACTGCCCCAATGACAGCTCCTGCACCTTTATTTCTGAGAGTGAAGACGGTGTTTACAGCAATATTTTACAAGATTTTACGCTCATACTTTCACTGATTTTTAAATATCGCTCATATTGAATATTAAATATCGTGGGCTAAAAGATGGAACCATTTTGAAAGATGTAAAAAAGCTACGTAGCCAGTTTTGAGGAAAACGCGACACAGCGGGGTTAGTTGTAACAGGGTGTTACAAATAAGCCACACACTGTTGGACACCAATTAAACCAACACAATCATTGCTAAATTCTGAGTGTATTGTTGGGAACTTCTCAAATGAAAAAAGTTTTTTTAATATAATTTTTTTATTGCTAATAATGCAAATAAATGCATTGCAAAATGATGGATAATAATGCAAATAAATCAAAATGTGTTTATTCAATAGATAAATAAATAAATAAACATACTGTGCTATGTAGAATAAAAAATACATTTATAAAAATAAAAAGCAGTGCTCATTTGTAGGAGAGGCTTGTGTGTTGTTGGTAAAAAAACAGATGGTTGGTCTAACCCCAGTAGGGATTATTATTAGGGCTTATATTCTATTCGTTCATTATTTGGCCAACACCAAAAAGTATTACTCTGTGCCCCGCTCTCCCCTATGTCTTGCTGGATGCATCACATTGAAGCTGAATACTTCAAATGAATTTATATTATATCAATCAATATATGTCAGTTTTGTGGTTTGAGTTTCGCAGAACCCTCTCCATTTCATTTGTTGTGCTTCTTTGTCCACAGTTGCATCAATTTCTAACTAATTATGTATTTAAGACGGCTTTTGATCAATGTATTTAGCATAGTTTTCTGTATTCTATGTGCTTTGCACATGTCCTCAGTCATTTGTTTTTAAAAGAAAACATTGGTTAGTGCAGGGTCTGGTTACCATAGTGAAGCGTGTTCTGAGAATAGAACGCATTCCAAAAGTGAACTGTAAGCCTTGCAGCACAGGAGAAACTCTTGTTGGTTTGTGGTAGTGGCGTTGAGCGGGTGTGTCTTTCGTTGCGAGTGAATATCTAACTCCTGTAGTGATTCTCAGCGACTGAACATCTCTGCCCATTTGATTGATTCACGGTGCAAGACCGAAATCATCATCCCATTTCAGCTACCAGACCCCGAGTTCTTGACAGAAAGTCTGAAAACCAAACTGACATCATGGTTGAGCATCTTCCACTGGGCGTTGACCCCGAGACATCGGCTGCCAAAATGGAGAGTAAGAGCAACATCACATATTATTATAGTTGATTTCAATAAATAACACTAAAATACAAAATAAAAGTGAAATTTCATGGTTAAAGTGTGTTTAAATCATGGTAAATGAGTGGTTTAGTTATTTATATTTGGGTGTTTGTTTTTGGTGAATGATTATTTAATTTCCTCAACTACTCTGGAGAAGTGTGTCAAGATGTGCAACTGTTTATCTTTTAACAGACGACAAGAAGAAGAAAGTGAAAGAGACAAAGAAGATGAAAAAGAAGAGCAAGGTTGCTTCGTTCACCAGAGCGGCCTTGAGATGGTTCTGCTTCTCTCCCAGTGATGAGCCGTTCAGATTCCCATCCTCTGATGGTAAATGATGCTTTTGGCATCTACAGTAGATGTTTCAGACTGTAATGTTATGAATAAACCGTATATTTACTGCCCTGATCTGGAATTTACCATGAAACTGACGGTGTGTATGTGCAAACTGCAATCATCTGTCCTCTAACAGATTATGAGGTCTATGAGAAGAGGATGGTGGAGGAGGAGGAACTGAAGGAGATGAAGCAGGAGGAGGAGGAGGAGGTGGAGAAGGAGAAGGAGGTGAAAGTGAAAGAGAGGAAGACGAAGAAAAAGAAGAGCAAGGTTGCTTCCTTCACCAGAGCGGCCTTGAGATGGTTCTGCTTCTCTCCCAGTGATGAGCCGTTCAGATTCCCATCCTCTGATGGTAAATGATGCTTTCGGCATCTACAGTAGATGTTTCAGACTGTAATGCTGTGAATCTGGAGTTTACCATGAAACTGACGGTGTGTATGTGCAAACTGCAATCATCTGTCCTCTAACAGATTATGAGGTCTATGAGAAGAGGATGGTGGAGGAGGAGGAACTGAAGGAGATGAAGCAGGAGGAGGTGGTGATGGAGGAGGAGGTGGTGATGACGGAGGAGGAGGAGGTTGTGATGACTGAGAAAGTGAACGATAACACGAAGGAAGAGAAGACAGAGGAGGAGGTCAAGAAAAGAAAGGAGGAGGAGATAAGCAGCCAGCTGTCAGAGGAGTTCTGGAGAATGAAATTAAGGGAGGAGGAGAAGGAAAGTGTGGTGGAGGAAAATGAGGAAATAAAACACACTGAAAAAGCGGAAGTGGAGGACATGGAGAAAGACAAAGTGAAGAAGAAGACAAAGAGGAGAAGGAGGCCGAGGAGAAACCGCAGGGTGGAGGAGGAGGAGGTGAAAGGACAGGAAAGTGAGGAGGTGGAAAAGAGCATGGAGGAGAAAGAGACAATAACTGACATCGTAAGAAAGGAGGAGGTGGAGGAGAGGGTGGCGAACAGGAGGAGGATGACCACATGGACAGTTGACAGCTTGAAAGAGGAGTTGAACAGAAAGTTCCCGATACACAAGCAGCACATGTGGCCCAACAACAGACCTGCCTCCAAGGCCCAGGCTGCACGGCGGGGGAGAAACCGCCATATTCTGTTATGGGGACAGAGAAACGTGTAGAACTCAATAAAGTTGTGTTGAACAAAACAGAGGAGAGTGTGTCGAGTTTATCTGCTCAATTTCTGCTTCAGAAGTGTTGAATGTGTTCTTACAGGTTTTGAACATTCTTACAAACATCTTCATTTCTGTTCAACCCGAAGAAAGAAAGTCAAACTGGTTTATAACAGATGAAGGCTGAGGAAATGAGGACAGAATGATTGTTTTGGTTGAACTATATTTTCAGGCCTAACATTTAGCTTTTGAGATTTAAGACTTTTTTAAGACTCCACTGATAGTCTGAATTTCATAACAATGATATTACCCCAGACATGCTCAATAATGTTCATATCTGGTGAGTGGGCTGGCCAATCCCGAACCAGCTTGACCTTCTTTGCTTTCAGGAGTTTGATGTGGAGGCTGAAGTATGAGCAGCGCTATCCTAAAAATGTGCCCTCTCCTGTGGTTTGTAATGTAATGGGCAGCACGAATGTCCAGTCCAGGGGTCACCAACCCTGTTCCTGGAGATCTACCTTCCTGCACATTTCAGTTGCAACCCTGACCAAACACACCTGTTTGTAATTATCAAGTGCTGCTTTAGGTACTATTAATTGGCTCAGGTGTGTTTGATCAGGGTTGGGACTGAATTGTGCAGGAAGGTAGCTCTACAGGAACAGGGTTGGTGACCCCTGGACTAGTCTTTGGTTGAACGCATTGAATGACAGCACAGGAGGGAAGCAGCAGTCTGGATGCAGCTATCACACATTACTATGAGCTATTACATATTTGTTTATCACACACTGACGGATTCAAAGATGGCCAGATCTAACGTGTAGAAACTGACAAAAAGAACTCATTTTTAGCCATTCTGACAAATAATACACCAACAAACAACAGACCATTTCACAAAGAGGATAATGACGCATTTCAACAGTTCTCTTAAATAACTGAGTGTTTAATAAACTAACATTTGTACATTTATACAGCTTTAGAGCTACATATTTGCTTCGAAAGAGGTATTCCTAATGTAGTGTATGAGCAGGTCAGTGCATTTGACTATAGAAATATATAAATATTCTGCAGTTTTCAGTCTCACATGATTTTTAATGTCGAGGTTTTCTTTTTTATGTGCGCAAACTGAAATGCTCTCTATTGACAACCGCTGCTGAGAAACCTAGAAATGTGAAAGGAGGTCTATATTATTTGGACCATGGAATAAGCAGTAGTTATGGCTTGTCGTGCATTTTAAACATACTTAATGACATAAAAAGAGCCAATCCATTGATTACTCCTTACTTATTCTGCTTGATTTTGATTGGCCGGTGAGCATTCTAAGGTGTGCAGGTCAGATAAATAGTTCCAGCAGGTTTTGAGTGCATTACAGCTCTGTATCACTACGCTGAATGATTCGAGTTATTTCACAGTGAGAAATCAGATCAAAACACAACTGAAGGCTTACTAATCCTACACGCAGGAGCAGTTTGAGGACAAAAACCTGACAAATAAAGTCGAAACAGTGAATTTAGCAGCTGTGGATAGCAGAGGAATAACACTCCATTGCATTATAAGAAAAATAATACAAAGTCTACATTTGAAAGGGATCGTTCACCCAAAAAATGGGAATGTGCTCTCGATTTACTTACAAAAGAAGATAGTTTGAAGAAAGCTGAAAGCATGTAACCACTAATTTCCAGAGTAGGAAAACAAATACTAAGGTCCAAGCCCAATTCTACCCCTTAGTCATTCCTCTTACCCAATTATCTTTAGCTTGAAGGCGTAGGGCTAAGGGGAAGAGCTAGATAGCCCTTGAAACAGAGATTTTTAAGAGCCACACTCGAAACCAAGGGGTAAGAAAATTTCCCAGAATACACCAGCTACTGCACACGGAAGTCAGGAGATGCACAAATTTGTTTTTTTGTCAATATTACGAATTTCAATAACAAACAAACAAACACATGCATTAATAATACATTAATAACCGTGTTCGTGTTTTACCATCATGCTTTAAAAAAATATATCATAAAAAACCCCCGCTAAATTTCGCTATTTATAATCCCTAATAACTCCTGTATAGTCGTCCCACAGTATACTCTTACATCTGACACTAGATGACACCCTGTCAGAAAAGTCCAGTGGTTGGGAATGAGCTGTTTACAGTGTCTGCTATAACGTTAATGTTGTTTTCATGTGTTTACATAGATGAATACGGCCACGGTGTAAATGCACAGTACAGTTACGAGCTTATTGCCACATTATATGGTTATGATAACATGATATCGTGGCCTTCAGTGATTTCCTGAAGATAAATACCAAAAAATAACACAACTGGAATAACTACAGCAAATGCAATCGTCTGATTTCAAATGAAGCAAGAGATGGCGATGACACATGATGACGTGTGCAGGTGCTGTAGTGCTGTTCCAATTCTTAGGGGTAAATTTTAAAGCCCTTCACACTCTGTTTAAAGGGCCAAGGGGAAGGGGTACAACAATAGAATTGGGATTAGGCCTTAGTCAACGGCTTTCAGCTTTCTTTAAAACATCTTCTTTAGTGTTCAACAGGAGGAAGAAACTCATACAGGTTTGCACCAAGATAAAAAAGTGAGTAAATGACAGAATTTTCACTTTTGGTTGAACCATCCATTTAGTAACACTGACCAAGTCAAATGGAGAGAAATATAGCGAATATTAGGATTCAATGGCTCAGTTAATCCTTACATACAACATTGTAGTGCATAGTATGTCGAAACCAAAGAAACCGCTTGTTAAGAGTGACGTCATGCAAATATCAGGTCCAATCGCTCTATCAAATGTATGTATGTGGAGGCTCAACAAAGGGTGATAATAAACGTTTACAAAGCGATTTAATACTTTCGAAAATCACAATCGGTGTATATATCCATGCCTAATATCAGATAGCCAGAAAGTGATCAATTTTTTATTCATTCATTCATTTTCCTTTGGCCTAGTCCCTTTATTTATCAGGTTATTCCACAGCGGAATGAACCGCCAACTTATTTAGCATTTGTTTTACACAGCCCTTCCAGCCGCAATCCAGTAGTGGGAACGACATAGTATGAAAAACAAATACTAAGTCAGCGGTTCCAGGTTTGGAGAGTGAGTAAAAGACAGAATTTTCATGTTGAACCATCCCTTTAGTAGCGAAGACCAAGTCAAAGGGAGAGAAAGCGAGTTAACAAATACTACAACTCAATGGCTCATCAATTAATCCTTACATCCAACATAGTAGTGCATAGTATGTTCGAAACCAAAGAAACCGTCACGCAAAGCAGCTTCTGGATCCAAGAGCTCTATCAAATTGTATGCGGAGGCTCAACAAATGGTAATAATAAACGTTTACATATCGATGTAATACTTCGAAAATCACGATCGCTAAATATTTATATATATACATGCCTAATATTAGATGGCCAGAAAGTGATTAATTTTTTTATTCATTCATTAATTTTGCTTTGGCTTGGTAGCTTAAAGGGTCACGAAACACCAAAACACATGTGTTGAGCTGTTGTCAGTCGTATATGTGTCCCACACTGCTAAAAACACTATTAGGACACTTATATTTCACTAAAAAGTGTAAATCGGTTGTTTTTGCGTTATTTCAAGCAAATTCGTACTTCCGGTTTGAAACGAATTTTTGAAGCTGCGTCACGGTCATGACATAATAGCATGTATTGCAGCCTGCAGACTGGACGTCTGTGCCAGAGTGAGTCTTATTACGTCTTACAGTGTGATGCATTAATGCATGAGTAAGGCTTGGTTCAAACCAATCAGCGCGCTCTATTGTGCAACTTCATTAATATTCATTACTGTCACAGTGTTTATACGACAGAGACGCCACGTTGTGTTGGCAAAACAAGCGTGAAGTGTTGCTTTTATAGTTTGCTGCAGTGAAGTTTCGTTTTCATTTTCTCTCTGTGAGAGCTCAGCTGGAGTCACGTGTGGATTAACAGTGTACGCGACGCTCAACAACAATAACTTACGTGTCTAAGGAGGATTATTGTTTACCTGAGAGCTGTTCTCATCTGCAAACGCTGAGATCCAGATTGGCTTGTAGTCTCCTCTTAATAAAGACGCGGCTCTAGTTGCTGGTGATTGTCCTGTCTCTACAGATTTGGTAAGTGAGCGACCAGTGCTCTTTGTTTATTCAGTTCGTATTTTATTCGTATCAAACAAACTATTGCACCGAGTGTAAACAAGTTAGCACTAACAGTTACAACCAAACTATAACCTCGTGTAGGATTTTGTGACCGGAATAACACACGCGGCTTTCTGACGCTACCTGCCGTGTGCATCTAAGTTTCCGGGAAATGCTGAGTTTTTTTTCTCTCATTCGCTGTGCGGTAACAAACATTGCATGAAAAATACACGCTTAGAGCAGTTCATTGAATCAAATATCACGTTTGTCGGGAGGGACATGAATGAATTCCCTGAATGAAAGAGCCAAACTGCAGTTAAAGTCCACCATTTAATAATCTGGCAAATAATTCCACTACAGATGTCCATGTAAACACAGTCACATTGTCCGCTGTGGTTGTGTGTTTTGACTCTGAAATTCAGTGCGCCCAAATAGACACTCCCACACCAAACCTCTTTTCTTCCTCCGACACTCCCCCCTAAACAGAGCTGGACACGCCCACTTTTCTGACTTTTTCCAAAGTAGAGGTGTGAAAACACCCTGCTGAAACGAGAGGGTTTCATGGCCCTTTAATCATCAGGGGTCGCCACAGCGGAATAAACCGCCAACTTATCCAGCATATGTATTAAGCGGTGGATGTCCTTCCCAGTACTGGGAAACACCCATACACACTCATACACTATGGCAAATTTAGTTGATCAGTTCCCCTATAGCGCATGTGTTTGGACTGTGGGGGAAACCGGAGCACCTGGAGGAAACCCACGCCAACACGGGGAGAACATGCAAATTGGGTTGCACCATTTACCGATACTATGGTAGCATTGAGATACTATGGCTCCAAAATACTCGCATTGCTGCTGTAGTTTGTAAACGGTAGTATCGTCATTAGCGATCTATCTACAAATCACAATGTTGCATGTGGAAAAAGTGACTAAAACGTTCACACGTTTGTGCAACAATAAATCATTTTATTTTAATAGTCTGTGGAGCGCTTTAAGGTCGCAAAACTGTAGAATTCACGCCTTTTATGGTAGCCTATTGCAAGTTTTCTGATGTTTCAGTTCGAACGCACATCGGTTCATTTCTGTTCCTGTTAATATGATTTAGTAGCTACAACAACCGCGACAATCTCTTAAAAAGAACGACTCTCAAAGTGAAATTTTGAATACATGATAAGACAAAATATAGATTAAAAAACCAAAATAGCAAGAAGAAAACATTAAAACAATTTTTGACCACTTCATATAGCCTAATTTTGTTGGAAAAATAAGATTTTTAGAACGAATTTCGTTTGGTGTATTTTGTACCTTTATTTTAATGTATTTTTTGTTGGTCAGTTATCTACAAAATAGTTTAGGTGAAGTGACGTGCAAACACTTTTTTCAGTAATAAGGGAATTCCAAATGAACTTCAACTAGGCCTATTATAACATGTAAAATATAGTATTTCTGAATATTCAACTTTATTTCATAGATTTGAGTATCGCAATGCTACTTGGTATCACGATACTTCAGCTGGTATAGTATCGTAATGTAAATTAGAGAAAATTTACAAACTAATTTCGAAAGCAGCATGTGATATGATTGACTGCAGCTGGTCACCCATCTACATTTATAAGTTAGCAAATCATATTAATCCTAACTCACTATAACCGTACGTTCACACCGAAAGCGGCGAGAGCGTCCAAGGTCGCTCTGGCCGCCCTGGCGACAACGCTGTCTGCCTTCAGCTCCGGCGGCGAAAGCGTCAAAACTCGCTACATTGATCTCGTACTTAAAGGAGCCGTTGCAGCATATCAGTTACATTCCTGCATAAGACATGTTTTTAGCGTGAAAATGTTGCGCACTTCTTATCAAATTCATACAACAATGGAAGATCAAGTTGCATGTGGTGTGGCTTTGCTCTATTTATCCAATATGTGTCCACATGTCTGAAATATCCTGAAGCAGCAGTACTGTTTTGTACAGTCACATCGCGTGAGATTCCCTTTTTTTAAAGATAAATTTATAAAACATTAATGAACATCAGTAACTCGCCAGTAACTTATTTAATGTATGTTCCTGTAGGAAAACATTGTAAAACCCTTGGGAACAACTGTGGTCGGAACCATAGTTCACAGGTCTGTGTTCCCTGAACTGCTATCAAGCGGTGGACGTCTTCATTCTGATTGGTTGCCGCCGAACCGCGTCATAGCTCATTACCATAAAGTTGACTTCATTTCAACTCTCCTCGACGCTCACGCCGGCGAAGACGCGCCGCGCTGCTCCTTGCTCCTTGCCTATCGCCGCCGGCTCTCATTGAAAATTAATGACTTCCGGCTACTTTGACGCTCTCGCCGCTTTCCGTGTGAACGTACGGTTAGTAGCCTAGCTAGATCTACTCCCTTATCTTCGTTTTCCGAAGAAACCCCCCATCCACCCCTTCTCCTCCTTTACCACAGGGGAGCTCTCAAGAACCGCCTGATCTCGTACTCCCCTCACATGCTCCATGGACCTGACGGAGCCCTGGGCTCAACTATCTCCAAGCTCAGGGTTCTCTCCCGGGACAGCATGCCAAACCTGCTAACATTTGTCAAAGAATATCTAAGTGTGAACTCTTGAAGTGAAGTTTATTCATAAACTAATTTCGAGAGGATCACGTGCTTATGATTTATCAAGGCCAGTCTCTCATTTGCTAATCACTATCTTCCAATCATATGAGCCCTAAGCTACTATAAATAGCCACAGTTTTCAGTTCACTTTATCTTCGTTTGGAAGAAACCCCCCTCCTCCCCTATTCTCCTTTACCTCTGATTGGGCGGCACGGCGGCCCAGTGGTTAGAACTGTGAGCCACACAGCAAGAACACTGCCGGCCCTGGTTCCACAGGACTGGTGGGTGTTTCTGTGAGGAGTTTGTATGTCCTCCCCGTGTCCGCGTGGGTTTTCCCCGGGTTCTCCGGTTTCCTCCCACCATCCAAAAACATTCAACATGCATAACAATCAAGCTTGTCTAATCCCTTGTGTTCCCTTAGCTACAGCGGCAGGGGAGTTCTGAGATCCACCGAGCTCAGTCTCCCCTCTTGCTCTGCTAACGGGAGGAAGCCCCGGGCTCGAGGAGCCCTTGAGCTCGGGGCTCTCTCCCGGGACAGCATGCCAAACAAGCTTTTGTAAATCATCAGCTAAGTGTGAACTCTTGAAATGTTATCGCAACAACCCTGCATCCAACGACAACTGACCCAGCCTGGGCTCGAACCAGCGACTTTCTTGCTGTGAGGCCCCAGTGCTAACAAATCGCTGAGCCACCGTGTCGCTCCCACTTACAGTTTTTGAACATAGTTAAAATATTGCTGTAAAATTCACTTTAAGGTGTTATATGACTAAAATAGGGGACATAAACAAATATTTTCTTAATTTAAACGAGTAGCAGCTCGGACCTGGACACATTTCAAACGTCACGACTTAGCAAGCGGATATTCTTTGTGTGTGTGTGCTTTTCTTCCACTTTACTTTAGGCTCACTTAATCCCTCCTCAAGAGTGTCCCAAGAAGTGCCCTTACTTTACAGACACCTAAAGACGTCCGCACACCCAACCATGAGCACGGGCCGGAGGAGTGCATGTCCGTCCAGTAGTTTAACATATTAGCTGGTGTGGTATGATGGACGGACACCATCGTCTGGTAGCAGCAGCGGCTGTACGGTACGGCCGGTCCTCCAGAGAAGAATGGAGAATGGGTTGGATTGATTCCTGCGGTGTGAGCACAAATGCCTACAAACACATCCTCCGGGGGCAAAGGTTTGGGTAGATTTATGGCAACCGCTGCTAGGGACAGCTTCAGCAAAGCTGAGCGAGAAAGCACATACGCCGTCCCACTGCAGTAATCCGGGAGGACCATCCCAGCGTATGCAGTCTCCGACATGAAGTGTCTGCTGGCGGGATTGCGATCGGGTGCGACCTGCATATGAACACGACCTAAATAAAGCTCAAGAAGTTCGCTCTCGTCTCTTTTAAAGCTCAGGTTGAGATATTGAAGCAGCGCGTTTGGGTTGAACATCACATCATCGTCTACTTTAGCAACATAGTGCGCCTGTGGACAGAAGCGGCGCGCCCATCCTAATATAGACAGCGTTTTAAGTGTTAAATTGGTGTATGTGTCAGTGAAGCGACCTTGTATTAGATCCCCGCGCTCTTTTGATTCTTCGATTAGCTCTTTTCCAATAACCGGGTCTGTTGGTTGACCTACAACGAAGAGGGTCATGACCCGGTGACCTCTGACGTGCACTTCCCCACCCCAAGTGTCCCGGATTGCCTGGCGAGCCTTTCTATTAGGAGGTGCAGTTGCTACTAAAGTGATGAGGTAGGGTTTGGCACGTTCGCACACGTGGATGCTAGGCATCAGCAAGAACTCCTCAGATCGGGTTGGAGGAACACTGTGTGGAAGAACCACCCCTTGAGGACTTTCCAATCGGCTCATCCCCAGCGCAGTCACCCATAATTCAATGACGTCAACGAAGAGGAAAGCAAGCAGGGAGCCACAGAAGACTATAATGAGGAGGTAATGGATGATCCCCAAATGGCCTCCTCGCTTCCCGAAGTGAGCTTTGCATATCCTGACACTATACCCCACCATTTTTACCATTGTTTGGGGTGTGGATGTAGCCGAATGTGTTAAATTAGATCCAGTGAAAGGATAAAATCTCCAACGCAAGATGTCCAGTTCAGGATGCACCAACTGCAAGAGTAAAACAAGAGAGTGGTTAATAATAAATATGCTATTGTCAATATATTGTAGTGGGTTTATAGAGACATTTATTTCCATATTTACTCTGCTGTGAAAATTCAGTTTCTATGCTGGTTTTCTTTTTATTGGAGTTTCTGTGCTGGTTTTCTTTTTATTGGAGTTTCTATGCTGGTTTTCTTTTTATTGGAGTTTCTGTGCTGGTTTTTCTTTTTATTGGAGTTTCTGTGCTGGTTTTCTTTTTATTGGAGTTTCTATGCTGGTTTTCTTTTTATTGGAGTTTCTGTGCTGGTTTTCTTTTTATTCTATGCTGGTTTTTCTTTTTATTGGAGTTTCTGTGCTGGTTTTTCTTTTTATTGGAGTTTCTGTGCTGGTTTTTCTTTTTATTGGAGTTTCTGTGCTGGTTTTCTTTTTATTCTATGCTGGTTTTTCTTTTTATTGGAGTTTCTGTGCTGGTTTTTCTTTTTATTGGAGTTTCTGTGCTGGTTTTTCTTTTTATTGGAGTTTCTGTGCTGGTTTTCTTTTTATTCTATGCTGGTTTTTCTTTTTATTGGAGTTTCTGTGCTGGTTTTTCTTTTTATTGGAGTTTCTGTGCTGGTTTTCTTTTTATTCTATGCTGGTTTTTCTTTTTATTGGAGTTTCTGTGCTGGTTTTTCTTTTTATTGGAGTTTCTGTGCTGGTTTTTCTTTTTATTGGAGTTTCTGTGCTGGTTTTCTTTTTATTCTATGCTGGTTTTTCTTTTTATTGGAGTTTCTATGCTGGTTTTCTTTTTATTGGAGTTTCTGTGCTGGTTTTTCTTTTTATTGGAGTTTCTGTGCTGGTTTTCTTTTTATTGGAGTTTCTGTGCTGGTTTTTCTTTTTATTGGAGTTTCTGTGCTGGTTTTTCTTTTTATTGGAGTTTCTGTGCTGGTTTTTCTTTTTATTGGAGTTTCTGTGCTGGTTTTTCTTTTTATTGGAGTTTCTGTGCTGGTTTTCTTTTTATTGGAGTTTCTGTGCTGGTTTTCTTTGTATTGGAGTTTCTATGCTGGTTTTCTTTTTATTGGAGTTTCTGTGCTGGTTTTTCTTTTTATTGGAGTTTCTGTGCTGGTTTTTCTTTTTATTGGAGTTTCTGTGCTGGTTTTTCTTTTTATTGGAGTTTCTATGCTGGTTTTCTTTTTATTGGAGTTTCTGTGCTGGTTTTTCTTTTTATTGGAGTTTCTATGCTGGTTTTCTTTTTATTGGAGTTTCTGTGCTGGTTTTCTTTTTATTGGAGTTTCTGTGCTGGTTTTTCTTTTTATTGGAGTTTCTGTGCTGGTTTTTCTTTTTATTGGAGTTTCTGTGCTGGTTTTTCTTTTTATTGGAGTTTCTGTGCTGGTTTTTCTTTTTATTGGAGTTTCTGTGCTTGTTTTTCTTTTTATTGGAGTTTCTGTGCTGGTTTTTCTTTTTATTGGAGTTTCTGTGCTGGTTTTTCTTTTTATTGGAGTTTCTGTGCTGGTTTTCTTTTTATTGGAGTTTCTGTGCTGGTTTTTCTTTTTATTGGAGTTTCTATGCTGGTTTTCTTTTTATTGGAGTTTCTGTGCTGGTTTTTCTTTTTATTGGAGTTTCTGTGCTGGTTTTCTTTTTATTGGAGTTTCTGTGCTGGTTTTTCTTTTTATTGGAGTTTCTGTGCTGGTTTTCTTTGTATTGGAGTTTCTGTGCTGGTTTTCTTTGTATTGGAGTTTCTGTGCTGGTTTTCTTTTTATTGGAGTTTCTGTGCTGGTTTTCTTTGTATTGGAGTTTCTGTGCTGGTTTTCTTTGTATTGGAGTTTCTATGCTGGTTTTCTTTTTATTGGAGTTTTTATGCTTTTTTTGTTGAAATTTGTATAGGATTTATAAAATTATTTATTTAATACTGCGGCCAGGATTCTGACCAGAAGCAGAAAATCAGAGCACATCACACCTGTCCTCAGGTCTCTACACTGGCTGCCAGTTACATTCAGAATAGATTTTAAAGTATTATTACTGGTCTATAAATCACTAAATGGCCTAGGACCTCAATACATTACAGATATGCTCACTGAATACAAACCTAACAGATCACTCAGATCTTTAGGATCATATAAACTAGAAATTCCAAGAGTTCAGTCAAAGCAGAGTGAATCTGCCTTCAGCCTCTGCGCCCCTCGCTGCTGGAATCAGCTTCCAGAAATGATCAGATGTGCACTAACATTAGGCACATTCAAATCAAGACTGAACACACATCTGTTTAGCTGCGCCTTTACTGTATGAGCACTGTGCTGCGTCCGACAGATTGCACTATCATGTTTTTTGTTTTCTTTTTCATTCTTTTATAACCTATTTTAACACATTTTAAATAGTTTTTATCTGTTTTTAATCATTTTTATTGTCTGCATTTTATGTCCTAAACATGTCTTTTTTTATTCCTGTTTATGTAAAGCACTTTGAATTGACACTGTGTATGAAATGTGCTATATAAAGAAACTTGCCTTGCCTTGCCTTATTTTATTAACAATGTCTGTTATATTTAGGACGACAAGCTCTGAACGTAGCTTTGAAATGACAGATTACAAAGAGCTATAAAGACGAATCCGTTCTTAATCCAAAAGACAGTATTACTTTTGTTTGTTTGTTTGTTTATAATCTTTTATCAAAGATATGTCTTTAAAGCAAAATCGAGAAGCGCAGTGCTTAAAATTCTTAAGCTTGTCCATCTTCATCCAAATGAAGTGAATTTGACAGCATACATACATGAGCTAATTTAAATACAGAACCCCTTCTGAACAATTGAGTCAGTTCTGAATGGTAAGAGAAAGAATCGTGATGCATCAATGAATATTTTTTTTTCTCTGAAACCTATAAAGCAGCTAAACATTCAAATAATGAAGTGGCAGCCCAGAGTCCTGATCTAAACCTGATTGAACACCTCATGCTGCAATCATTAGAATTATTCGCCCCCCTTTTAATTTTTTTTCTTTTTTAAATATTTTCCAAATGATGTTGAACAGAGTAAGGAAATTTTCACAGTATGTCTGATAAAATTTTTTCTTCTGGAAAAAGTCTTATTTGTTTCATTTCGGCTAGAATAAAAGCAGATTTTATTTTTTAAACACCATTTTAAGGACAAAATTATTAGGCCTTTTAAGCTATATATATTTTCGATAGTCTACAAAACAAACCATCATTATACTATAACTTGCCTAATTACCCTAACCTGCCCAGTTAACCTAATTACCCTAGTTAAGCATTTAAATGTCACTTTAAGCTGTATAGAAGTGTCTTGAAGAATATCTAGTCTAATATTATTTACTGTCATCATGACAAAGAGAAAATAAATAAGTTATTAGAGATGAGTTATTAAAACTATTATGATTAGAAGAAATCTGCTTTCCATTAAACAGAAATTGGGGAAGAAAATAAACAGGGGGGCTTATAATTCTGACTTCAGCTGTTTAAATATATATATTGTATTATATGCATTTTCATCAACAATGTCCTAAACTAAAACATAAACAATGCAACATAGACAATAATTTGATGAATGTCTCTGTATTATTTGATTATATCTGTCATCATTTGTTTCACTCACATGTTGATTCATCCAAGGAAGTAAAGGACTCCTTTTACGAATGGTTCACCCGATTCATTACAAGTGTAGATCACTGCTGTGGTAATTCGGACATTACTGTGTCTAAAAGATGCTAATCATTTACGTCAGCATGTGGAAATGTGACTTGAACTTTGATACTTCACGTCTGTTACGGAACATAGTAAAAAGTTAACAGGTAAAGGTAAATATTATTACAGCTATATATATATATTTATTCATTAACTTTTCTTTTAGCTTAGTCCCTTATTTATTAGGGGTTGCCACAGCGGAATGAACCGCCAACTATTCCCGTATATGTTTTACGCAGCGGATGCCCTTCCAGCTGCAACCCTCATATTATTTTATATGCTTTTATTTATTTGTTTACTTGTTGGTAATTCATTTCTTTGTGTTTTGTAAGATTATTAAAAAAACATCTTACTTTATTTAGTATTATTGAGATGAATGTTTAATTGTGACATTTCAATGTAATCTACATCTAATTTGGACATTGCAAGAATAATATTTCCAACAAAAGCATAACTAGTTTGATATAGTTTGAAACTGTTTTCGAAGTCAGTCAGCATCTTCCGGTTTAAGCGGTCTGAGGTTTGCAATTGACAGGCAAGCAGCAGCTGAACGCAGCACAGCATCTCGTTTTAACCACAAAGTCTCTCTCGCTAAATGCTGTGACTGTTAAACGACTGAGTGATTTTATCATGTTTTTATCATAAACGTTTAGCTGCATAAAACATAAGAAGTTGAGATGTTTACTTGCAGGATCTCTCAACTCTTTTTACAAGACCGGAAATCATGTTAAGACCCTGTTCTGTTGATATCAGCTCTTTTACATACAGTAGGAAACTAATAGAAAAAGCGGGAACACTGACTCCTTAGAGGGACTGTTTCTACAATTTGAACATTAAGTGTAATTCTAGTCTTGTACCTAGCTAAATTAATCATTTTATTTATTTATTTTTTTTATCAGAATTTTTCTTCTAGAGCAGGGATGTCCAAACTCGGTCATGGAGGGCTGGTGTCCTGCAAAGTTTAGCTCCAACGTCCTTTAACACACCTGCCAGGAAGTTTCTAGTATACCTGGAAAGAGCTTGATAAGGTTAACTGGGGTTGGAACTAAAATATGCAGGACACCGGCCCTTCAGGTCACACCTGTTCTAGAGTATACTTTTTGTACGTTTCAAATGACAAATGATGAATTATTACAAATTAATTTGATCAAATATCAAAATATCCCCTAGATATCAGATTTAAATATTCCCTACATAAAATGCATGCTGTATTTGGTCTTTTGATATCACTTTCTTACTGCACTATTTCTTTATAATGTGTGTTCAAAGCAAAAAAATAAATAAATTAAAATGCCTTCAATGCTTTGCAACTCCATGTTGGCTTGCCTGTATAGTTTGTATAGCATCATAATAAGATATACAGTTAAAGTCATAATTTTTAGCCCCCTTCGAATTTCTTTCTTTTTTTTAATTTTCCAAATGATGTTTAACAGAGCAAGGAAATTTTCAAAGTATGTCTGATAATATTTTTTCTTCTGGAGAAATTCTTATTTGTTTTATTTCGGCTAGAATAAAAGCAGTTATTAATTTTTAAACACAATTTTAGGGACAATATTATTAGCCCCTTTAAGCTATATTTTTTCTCGATAATTTACAGAACAACCCATCATTATACAATAACTTAATTACCCTAACCTGCCTAGTTAACCTAATTACCCTAGTTAAGCCTTTAAATGTCACTTTAAGCTGAATACTAGTGTCTTGAAGAATATCTAGTCTAATATTATTTACTGTCATCATGGCAACGAGAAAATAAATCAGTTATTATAGATGAGTTATTACAACTATTATGATTAGAAATGTGTTGAAAACATCTGTTCTCCGTTAAACAGAAATTTAGGAAAAATAAACAAGCTGTCTAATAATTGGGGGGGGGGTGTAACAATTCTGACTTCAACTGTATTAAGTTATAGTAAATTTGTCCTTTTAATATCACTGTCTTAATGCATAAGTATAATTTATAACTGTTTATTAAAAAAATGTATGGTGAAAAGCTCTACAGAAATAAAAATGACAAGTTGCTCAGATTATTTCTGTCATTTTTGTTTAGACTTAAATTCTCCTGATTTTTCCACAAAAATAAAAGCTTTTTAACTCTTTATCCGGTGAAGAACCATGCAACGTGACATTGATTACAAAATAATTTCATATAATACCCAAGTAAAACTCTGTTTTATGAGTGTATATGGGTGCCCTATAAAAAGTTAACCGTGAATAATTTGAGATATTTCAGTACTGCACTACTGTATGACATGTGTAAAAAATACAATCATCACATGAACTTTAACAGAGAAAAATATCAATAGCAAATGGCCTGACACATTAAAGCTACAAAATCAATTGCAAAATCAATGTTTGTTACTAAGTTTGATCACTGAACCAAACGTTTTAAAACGACACCTTATTAAATGCATACTTACAAAAGCTAATATTGAAATTATTATTGTATAAGCGTACTTTAAACAATATGGTCGCATATTAAATGATTGGCGTAATCTGAGACCAAGCGTCAATAATAAAACGAATAAAGACTGCTAATGCAATTAGCGATAATTGGGTTTTATATATATATATGAGCAATTCCAGCGTTATGGATGTGACATTTGCAGTAAAAACTCAAAACATAATTTCACACAGAAAGTATATGTTGACATTGTATCGAAACTTCTGTTTATATTTTCCAAAATAGCTCACCACAGAGTTATGGTAGCAGAAATATATCAATATGTAAACATGTTTTATATTTTAAATTAGGAAAATAAACATGCGTTATGGATGTGACAAAAAAAGTTTGCGAATTTACAATGGACAACAGATTATTTAGAAATTCTGACAGTTAAACTGCACAACTCAAAAGAAACAATGCTCATCAAACAGGTATGAATCGGCTCACTATAGAATTATAATGATTGATTTTATTTTGTTTGACATTTTTGCATTTATGAAGAAAAAGTGTCGTTATGGATGTGACAGATTTCCGTTATGGATGTGACAGCTGTGAAATAGCCACTTGTGTGATTTTGGCAAATTAAATATAATAGTTTGAAATACTGACAGATACATTTACGAGTATTTTTACAGTACTGTAAAATATTTGCTAACACAAAAAATGTAGAAACGGTTTGTCTTTTTTGGTGAAAACTAAATTATTTTTTATGGCAAGTTTGACATTTGCATAGAATTGCCCATATATATATACATACAGTTGAAGTCAGAATTATTAGCCCCCCTGTATTATTAGCGCCCCTGTTTATTTTTTTCCCCAATTTCTGTTTAATGGAGGGAAGATTGTTTCAGCACATTTCTAAGCATAATAGTTTTAAAAACCTATTTCTAATAACTGATTTATTTTCTCGTTGCCATGATGACAGTAAATAATATTAGACTAGATATTCTTCAAGACACTTCTATACAGCTTAAAGTGACATTTAAAGGCTTAACTAGGTTAATAAGGTGAACTAGGCAGGTTAGGGTAATTCGGCAAGTTACTGTATGATGATGGTTTGTTCTGTAGCCTATCAGAAAAAAAAATAGCTTAAAGGGGCTAATAATTTTGTCCCAAAAATGGTTTTCAAAAAATTAAAAACTACTTTTATTCAAGCCGAAATAAAACAAATAAGACTTTCTCTAGAAGAAAAAATATTATCAGACATACTGTAAAAATGTCATTGCTCTGTTAAACATAATTTGGGAAATATTTAATAAAGAAAATCAAAATCAAAAGGGGGCTAATAATTCTGACTTCAACTGTATATATATATATATATAAACCAAAAAAAGTCTATTACAGTGTAAACTAAAAGCAAAAGAGCTGAGTGCAGCTAAGCAGCTCCTCTTACAGACGCTAATAGGCAAAAACAAAAGCACACAATGCAGTTATTCACGAGCACAGCACTGTTCTGTGTTTGAAGAATGACGCTGGGTGGAATATCGAGTTTCACTTCAATGATATGAACATATACGAAATAAACGCCGTCTAAAAATAATTCAGCTTTGAGTATATGCTCACTAACGTTACCTCATATTTGACTTCGAATTATCCTTATAGCAGAAATCTTACCTTTCAGTGCTGAGGAATCCAAACCACGACTCGGCTTTCACATTTTGCCATGGATGAGAGATCCATACAGTGTTTATTCTAGGCCCCTTTCCGTGTCCATCTCTCTGTAACGGCTATTCAGGTCAAATCTATTCAGTGTTGCACGACAGGAGGATAAAAACGCGCATTTCTGTAAACTCACCGTCGATTAATGATAACTATTCAAGTCTATATGTTAAATTATGATCACTAGGCACTGTAGAAATACTCCAGGGCTCTTTACATCCTTTCAGTGAAGCGGATAAATGCGCGATACTGCCTGAGTGATGAGAGTAATTCCCCGCTTCGGACTGCAAAGGGTGCCTCCTCGTTTCTAGAAGGGATACAGCTGCGGCTACATTAACGATTGAATGAGAGGGTGCTCGCTGCAGAGCCATTTGAGGAGAGGTGAGCTCCAGAGAGGGGGAGCATGAGCTGTCGCTCCTCCTCCTGTAAGCTGTTTTAATGCGTACACCAACCCCACCCCTAACCCTACCCCCAGTGACATCACTCGTAGAAGAAGTGCAAAAAAGGTGGAGCTCAAGCTTAAGCTCCCCCTCTCTGGAGCTCACCTCTCCTCAAATGGCTCTGCAGCGAGCACCACTTGGATTGAATTGATGTATATTATTTAATAAATTACAAATTGATTGTTTTAATTAACGTTTACTCAACTCCTAACACTAAACCCAACCATCACAGTAATGTAAAACAGTAATTATTACGATGGTTATTTATTAAATTGCGTATTATAATAAAATAGTTATTTATTAAATTGATTACATTTCATTTTATTAACGTCGAACTCTTTCCCGACCCTAAACTTACACTTCACAATGATGTAAAAATATTAGTTATTATTTTACAGTGTCACAAAATTTTGCCATCATGACGTGCACGAGTAACCGCAGCTGTATCCCCTCGCTCAGAGGGCGTGTTTCAACCCATCACTTCACTCACTCGCTGTGCAAATCAGTGCACAAGCGTCTACTTGATTAATTATAAGCATCCCAATTAACTCTTAATTTACAGGCACCACTGGATAGATATTTGTAAGTTTATTGTAATCTGTGACGTATTAAATTAACATGCTTTTAAATAAATGTACATTTTTACATTGCACACGGTGCAATTTGAATCAGTAAGATTGCTTTTTTAAATTCTGAAATTAATATAATTTAACTTGATAATGCAGTTTTAGATGTGTGAGGAGATCCTGAAATTCTGGAAAGCAGAGTATGATCTTAAAATAAAAAATTAATGTCACCAGCCCCTAAAATGAACCAAAAAAGGTTTAATTATATTTATTTTTATCAATCAACATTTGAGAAGAAGAAGATAATATATATTTGTAGATATGTGCTTTTTACTAGCTAAACAGCTTGCAGTGCTTCATTGGATGTCAATAAATAGATCACTGGGAAAATAAAATAATGTGAAATGTTTTATTATTTGAGGCCATTATTAATTAATTGTTTATTGATTTATTTTATTGTATAGGTTTTTATATGTGCGTATTTGTGTCTACATGGATACTTGTGTGTATGCACAGCAGGTATATATTTTATATTTAGATTTGTTTTTAATTTGTAATAGTGTACAGTGCTATATTGTCTGTGTTGGTGTTGTAAATTACGCTACAAACACCTTGTAATAAACTGCAGCACATTTACTGTTATTTCACACACTCATTTCTCCAGATATTATTTCTTATCCTTGATATTATTATTTCAAATTACTAAAATATCAATAAAAGTCACTTTGTGAAACTGCAGAGTTGAATTCTTAACATCAGAAGTGGACAGAGCAGAGATCAACATCCCATGATGCAATCCACAAACATAAATAAACAAAAAACACTTGTGTACTACGATCACAAAGGGGGTTTTATGTTTATTCAGTATTGTTTCTCTACATCATGTGGTCAGATTTTGTTGAATTAACGTGCTTTAAAAATAAATTGAACATTGTAGATTGAGCATTTTCAAAATTGCGAAGTATAAAATGAAGAAAAATGTGTAAATAAATACACTGTAGATGTATCTCATTGTTTCATCAAAAGTTCTACATACACTTGGGGTCTAAAAGGAAGCCTTTAGGCAAATATTCAAGTGTAAAAGCTGCACATGCATGCAGGAATGGGTCATTTTTTTGCTTCCCCTTTTCTCATTCTAGCTTCCCCAAAATGCAAGGAAATGAGGATGAAGGAATTAAGGTAAAATCTATTTATATATTGAACAATTCTTAATCAGATTTAGTGAGAGTTCAGGGCTTGTTGTCGATGTTTGAATATAATTCTTTATATTAATAAAGCAAGATGGCATTTTCAAATACGGGAAATGTAAGCTCTTTTGTAGTAAAAAATAAATTCAAATAATCGGGCACCAAAATGAATTTGCAGAAGAAAAATGTCTGTTCCAAAAAACTTTTGTGAAAATGACATAATATGGGTGACATATTTTTTCAGAATTATTTGCCCCCTGTTTATTTTTTCCCCAGTTTCTTTTTAATGGAGAGCAGATTTTGTCAACACATTTCTAATCATAATAGTTTTAATAACTCATTTCTAATAACTGGATTAATTTATCTTTGCCATGATGACAGAAAATAATATTTTTCTAGATACTTTAAAGACACTTCTATACAGCTTAGAGTGACATTTAAAGGCTTAACTAGGTTAATTAGGGTAACTAGGCAGGTTACCCAAAAAATGTAGCTTTAAGGGGCAAATAACATTGTCCTTAAAGTTGTTTAAAAATAAAAACTGCTTTCATTCTAGCCGAAATAAAACAAATAAGACTTTCTCCAGAAGAAAAAATATTATCAGACATACTGTGAAAATTTCCTTGCTCTGCTAATAATCCTGACTTCAACTATATATTATATATATATATATATATATATATATATATATATATATATATATATATATATATATATATATATATATATATATATATATATATATATGATATGTACAGTGGTCATTATAAATCAGTGCAAAAACATTTTTATCAATTTCTCAGTAAAAATAGTTCATGCATTTAGGTGCAAAACAGATTTATTTAATGTATATATTTATTAAAATAATATTTTAGCCACCAAAGACTAATATTTTAAAATATGAATTTAAACGAGACATTTGTGAGGGGTGTACGAGTACTTATATATGTTGAGTACTGTGTATATACACATACACACACACACACACACACACACACACACACACACACACACACACACACACACACACACATATATATATATATATATATATATATATTTATATATATATATATATATATATTTATATATATATATATATATATATATATATATATATATATATATATATATATATATATACATGTGTGTGTGAAAATGCTCTAGACATGACCCTGTTATTTTGATTGAAAAGAAAAACAACTAATCAAATAATTTGTCTGGGTTTTGAACAGTTTTCAGCTGGAAACACTCAAGTGTGTATCTGGCAACACTGCTGCCAATCCGAGAATCTGAGCACTCTTTTTTCCCCGCTGACACCTGAAAGTGTATTAATTATTTCTTTATTACTATTAACAAAAAATACAGAATTATACAGTAACACACAAAAACGGATCCCAGAGTGTGCATAAAAAACATTCAGTCATTAAAACTCTTACATTCCATTTCAAACATACTTCAAAATATCTTCTTTTGTGTTCAACAGAAGAAGAAATCAACTCAAACATGTTTGAAACAGGTGGATGGAGAGTAAATGAAGTCAGAAACTAAATAACAATATACAGTAATATACAGAAACAAATGCCAGAGTGTACACACAAAACATTCAGCTATTAAACATCCTACATTTCTGAAGAATATTATAAGTCTTTGCTTTTGGCCAATCCGCGCGCTCGTGCTGGAGACAGACAGACACGATGACGTCAGCGACGGCTCGCTCCAGACGCTCGTGCCCGCGCAACCGCGAACGCGCCCGAGAGGAAGAAAAACTCTCGCACGCTGGCAAACGGGGTCACGAACTATGACCTTTCACTGGAGTAAAACAATAACAAATAATGTGCAATAAACCCGAGAGCGAAAACCCCGCGGCCGTGCGTTTGACAGGTGAGCGGCTTTTTAATTCTGCATGTCGCACAATGGTTGGTCAAAACGGCCGCGTGAAAAATCATCGCTTTGTGCAGGATTTGTGCTGTGGAGAGCTAAAAACAGGCCTGAGCTGTTGTCAAAACTCAGCGCTGCTGTCAACAGTGGATATGTGTGTTTATTTAACAATATAAAACTGTCCGATTGCATTATTGTTAACAATGCCTGATGCATTACACTGTATTTCAGACAAATAATGCGATTAAATTTGATTCAATCACCGCTTTTGGAGTGACTTTATCAATCGGCGTGCATGTTTACGTTAACATTAGCTGGTTAGCATGAGAGCTAACATATGAACTCGACCCTTTTACCTTTGCCACCGCGGGTCCTTCAGTGGGAGGATTTCTTCCCGACATTGATCTATTATTAGTGTATTTTTAAAGCAGACGACTGAATTTATATCAATAATAATGTGTTTGGGGATCAGGAATGTTTTCGATTTTAGTTATATTTACTAACGTTTAACGAAGGTTTCGTCTGTCTGTCTGTTTGCTGGCCTTATGCCAAAGTCTCCATTTTGTTCCGTGTTTTGATCGGTGTTTCCTGCATAGTTCCGCTTTGAGGCGGAAGGACATTTCATTATCCTTCACTTTAACCTATCAGCGATCAAAAATAACAACCATATAATAATAAACCACACATACAAAAACCATTAAACTATACAATAATAACACCAGATTTTAATATTGATATTTTTATTTTCCGAAAATATCAAAATACTCGGGTGAATTCAGTTAAATTTACCGGAATTCCCCTTTAAACTCAAGTTCATTCATTCATTCATTCATTTTCGGCTTAGTCCCGAACCCTTTATAATTGTATAATAATAACAATTATTATTATTATTATTGTTATCGAAATTAAACCCTTCCAGTTGCAACCAATCACTGGGAAACATCCACACACACTCATTCACACACATACACAACGGACAATTTAGCCTACCCAAATCACCTTCTTTCACCATCTTTTTGGCTTAGTCCCTTTATTAATCAGGGGTCGCCACAGTAGAATGAACCTCCAACTTATCCAGCATATGTTTTACGCAGCGGATTTCCTTTCAGCACACTCCTTCACACACATACACTATGGACAATTTAGCCTACCCAATTCACCTGTACCGCATGTGTTTGGACTGTGGGGGAAAAAAACGGAGCACCCGGAGGAAACCCAAGCGAATGCAGGGAAAACATGCAAACTCCACACAGAAACGCCAACTGAGCCAGCCGAGGCTCGAACCAGCGACCTTCTTGCTGTGAGGCGAACATGCAACCCAATGTGCCACCGCGTTGCCCCGAAATGATCATTATTGGTCCCATTTCAGAAAGAGGGTTCAGTGAAAACTCAGAGTATGTTAACCCTGAAATAAAAGAAACTCAGGGTTTTCCGTTTTAAAAATGGCAGGTTTGTCAAACTGATGAAAGCAGGGCAAGTCAAGCCTGTTTTAAAAAGAGACGCCACTTTAACTCAGAGTCAGTTACTGTGGTAACTTACTCTGTGAACCTAACCTGGTCAGGAGCAGGTTTATCCTCTAAACTCTTTTTATTTTTATGTTTATTCTCTAAAGTTTCTGTTGGTCTCCTCCCCTTTTTTAACGAAGAAGCTGTATTTTTCGCCTTAGTCTTACGTTTCCAACCACCTATTTTTATGCGCATTTTGTATACGGTTATGGTGGATGGAAACACCAAGATGCGTATAACTTTTGAAATGTTATCTTGAACTGGTGAACTTACAAGTAAGTACGTTAAACATTAACATTAAGCTAAAGGTTATATGCATTTTTGTTTTGTCATATTTGTTGCAGAAAATATACAGACGCCTATTTTATGGGATTTAATGCAATTACATCTGAAATAACTTAAACTACAGCCAAATCCCCACTTTATCACGTAAAAAAGTCATTAAACATCACACATTGTTACTTTTTTATTATACCGAATTATTTAAATACTTTTAATGTAAAGATACGCATTAACTTGAGCTGCTTTCCCACACTAGCTGTCTCTATTTCACTGATGCAGTGCTGTTGCTTTTTTAAATTTCTGCTCATATTTGCTGTAATTTTGCACGAGCACATCAAGTTCAGCTGGAGAAAGAAATGCTGATCTCTATTTTCAGATGTTGCCCTAGTGACTTGTAATATCTGCGCTCCATTGATAATGTCTTTTTATAGTCACGGTGTGCGTGCTTAAGTCTGAGTTGGTCTACTCAACGTCGGTTGACCCAACTCAGATCAGCTATTCTGAAACCCAAAACTCTGAGTTTTTAATAATAATAATAAATTTTATTTAAAGGCGCCTTTCTAGCAACTCAAGGACACCGTACAATCAACAAGAATAATAAAACAACAAGAGAAATAATAAAATATACACAGCAATAGTGCAAATAAAATTAAGTATTAAAAGCCATCTTAAATAAGTGGGTTTTGAGTTTTGATTTGAGCAGTGTGAGGGAGTCAGTGTTTCTGATGGCAGGTGGTAGTGAGTTCCAAAGCCACGGAGCAGAGCGGCTGAATGCTCTGTTGCCCATAGTTGAAAGGCGAGTAGAGGGAACAGACAAGTGGAAGGAGGAAGAAGATCGCAGGGTGCGAGAAGGAACAGAAATGTGGATGAGGGCAGACAAATATGGAGGGGCGAGATTGTGGATGGCTTTGAATGTTTATATTAAGATTTTAAAGTCAATTGGAAAATAAACAGGTAACCAGTGAAGCTGTTGCAGGACAGGGGTGATGTGATGAGAAGAAGGGGTTCTGGTGATGATACGGGCAGCTGAGTTCTGGACCAACTGAAGCTTACGGAGGGATTTATGAGTGAGACCAAAGAGAAGAGAGTTGCAGTAATCTAAACGAGATGTGACAAGGCTATGAAGGAGAACAGCAGTGGCGTGAGGGGTAAGAGAAGAGCGGAGACGGTTAATGTTGCGTAGGTGGAAGTAAGCAGAACGGGTGATGTTGTTGATGTGAGAATCAAAGGATAGGGTGCTATCAAGGATGACACCCAGACTCTTAACCTGTTAATCTCCCGGTAAGTCAACTCAGAGTTCAAGTTTAAACCCTGAGTTGGTTAAACCTCCTTACTGAAACAGGCCCACTATGTTTGTTATTGTTCTCGAAATGATCATAATTATGTTTGTAAGTGTTATTGAATTATTATTCATTCATTCATTTTCTTGTGGGCTTAGTCCCTTTATTAATCCGGGGTCGCCACAGCGGAATGAACCGCCAACTTATCCAGCAAGTTTTTACGCAGCGGACGCCCTCTCCCATCTCTGGGAAACATCCACACACACATTCACACACACACTCATACACTATGGACAATTTAGCCTACCCAATTCACCTGTACCGCATGTGTTTGGACTGTGGGGGAAACCGGAGCACCCGGAGGAAACCCACGCGAAGGCATGGAGAACATGCAAACTCCACACAGAAACGCCAACTGAGCCGAGGTTCGAACCAGCGACCTTCTTGCTGTGAGGCGACAGCACTACCTACTGCGCCACAGCCTCGCCTGAAATGATTATTATTGTTATTGTTACGCAGTGGGCGTGGCCTTCAGATTATAATGCGTTGCGCTGCTTCTTTTGTCTTCTAGGAGGAGGTATCATTTTCAGATGCAGAGCTCGGCCAATCAGATGCTTGTAATGACTTCACATTACCATGACAACCAATGTGGAGCTGCTGGCTCAGCAGATATTGACCACTGAGCAGCTTTCAGAGGTCAGTGGTGATGCGAGACATTAAGGGTTCATTCAGACGCAGCAGTAGCGGTGTGTCCTCTATGCAGTCGGTTGCAGTAAACGGATCCATCTATGTGCTGGAAACACTGGTTGTAGTCAGAAGACTCCTAATCAGCCAAAATATTAAGTCTACCTTTAATTTTATTTGTAAGATCAGGCTTATTCGAGGTCATGCTGTGTGTTCTTACTGTGGGGATAAATAAACAGGATTGTAGTAAAGGTTTTGGTCACCTCACTGAGTTGCTATGGAAACGCACTGGCTGTGACCCTCAGGTGTGTGTGTGTGTGTGTGTGTGTGTGTGTATGTGTGTGTGTGTTGCAGGTTCAGTTGTCTCCGTCAGGCAGTTCAGTGATGAGCGGCTCTCCTCAGCGCATTCAGATCATCTCCACCGAGCCCTCGGTCACCAGCCCACAGAGAATACAGGTCCACACACATGTGCACATGCATACACACACACACACACACACACACACACACACACAAACAAACATATATATACCTAGACACACAAACACATGTGTACACAACCACACACATATCTATACACACACACAAGTACAAGCACACACACGCAACCACAAACATATATACACACAGACACACAAACACATGTGCACACTACCACACACACAAACATGCATGCAGTCTTATACAGACACACAAACACCAACACACACATGCACACACAACCAAACATATATACACCCAGACACACAAACACATGCGCACACACACACACACACAAACATGCATGCATTTATGCAGACACACAAACACGCACACAAAACCAAACATATATATACACCCAGACACACACACATGCACACAACCACACACATGCACACACATATATACATACACAAAAACATGCATGCAATTATACAGACACACCAACACACACACACACGCACACACAACCATACATATATACACCCAGACACACAAACACATGCGGTCACACATACACACACACACACACACACACACACAAACATGCATGCACTTATGCAGAGATACACAAACACATGCACACAACCACACACAGATATACACACACACACACACATACACACACGAACATGCACGCACTTATACAGACACACAAACATTCACACATATGCACACACAAACAAACATGTATACACCTAGACACACAAACACATGTGTACACAACCACACACATATCTATACACACACACACAAGCACACACCCACAACCACAAACATATATACACACAGACACACATATGTGCACACACACACACACACACACACACACACACACACACACACACACACACACACACACACACACACACACATATATATATATACACACAAACATGCATGCGCATATACAAACACACAAACACACACACGCGCACACAACTAAACATATTTACACCCAGACACACAAACACATGTGCACACAACCACACTCACACATATACATACACATGCACACAAGTACACACCCACAACCACAAACATATATACACACAGACACACAAACACATGTGCACACTACCACACACACACACACACGCACACACAACCAAACATATTTGCACCCAGACACACAAACATGCACACAAAATATATATATATACATATACAATATACATACACACACACACACACACATACACAAAACCAAACACACATGCCATGAACACAATTACACACTCACACACATACACACACATGCACGCATACAAACACATATATTCAGACACAGAGATTCTCACATTCACACAAAACCAAACACACACTCCTCATCAGCGCTGTCTGGTTCACACATGATCCTCCTCTTCAGATCGTCACAGAGCAGCAGACGGGGCAGAAGATCCAGATAGTGACGGCTCTGGACTCCTCTGTGCCCAAGCAGCAGTTCCTCCTGGCCTCTCCTGATGGCTCTCCAGCGGGTAAAGTCCTGCTGGCGTCCCCAGAGAGCTCCAGCGCCAAACAGCTCATCTTCGCCACTGCCGACAGCCTGGTACCCGGCAGAATACAGGTATGAAGAACACACACACACACACACACACACATGTACAATTCTGGGATGTACGTTATCTCTTACTTATTATATCGGTCAGAGTTTCTTGTTCACCTGTGAACTACTAGACCATCATCATCATCATCATCATCATCATCATCATCTTTATATAGCTGTGCTGTATTAATGCTGAATAAGAAATGCTTCTGCCTTCTGCTGTAGTTTGTGACTGATGCCGTGTCCGTGGAGAGGCTTCTGGGTAAAGGCACAGACCTCAGCCGAGTTCAGCCAATTGAATACTGTGTGGTGTGTGGAGATAAAGCCTCAGGTACAAACGCATTCAGTCTTACAAATGTGATTTTCTTTTTATACATGGAAGAAAGCATATTAAATGCAAATGTGTTGAAATATGGGTGAAATAATGCTCCATTGTCATTCAGTGTAATGTATGTTTATTTAAGAGTGAAGCACACACTTTTTCTGGCCTGTACATGAGAAATATAGTAAAGTGATCACACCAAATACAAATATATTATTGATATCTCCTGCATATTGTATTTGGTATGATCACTTTATTTATACTCACCGGCCACTTTATTAGGTACACCTGTTCGACTGCTCGTTAACGCAAATTTCTAATCAGCCGATCACATGGCAGCAACTCAATGAATTTAGGCATGTAGACATGATCAAGATGATCTGCTGCAGTTCAGAGTGAGCATCAGAATGGGGAAGAAAGGGGATTTAAGTGACTTTGAACGTGGCATGGTTGTTGCTTCCAGACAGGCTGAGTATTTCAGAAACTGCTGATCTACTGGGATTTTCACGCACAACCATCTCTAGGATTTTCAGAGAATGCTCAGACAAAGAGGAAATATCCAGTGAGCGGCAATTCTGTCGGCGCAAATGCCTTGTTGATGAGGCCAGAGGTCAGAGTAGAATGGCCAGACTGATTCCAGCTGATAGAAAGGCAAATAAGCACTGTGTGATGCCATCATGTCAATATGGAGCAAAATCTCTGAGGAATATTTCCAGTATGCTTGTTGAATCTGTGCCATGAAGGATTAAGGCAGTTCTAAAGGCAAAACGGGGTCCATCCTCGTACTAGTAAGGTGTACCTAATAAAGTGGCCGCTGATTGTATAATACTATATTTTTGCTTTATATAAAAATGAAAATGATGCAATAATAAAAAAGAACACTTTGCAGCATAACAAGTTGTATTTTTACCATTTTTTTTACCCTTATCTGTTCCGGGACTTGACAATTCACAAATTAAGCACTGGCAGTAAGTGAGACCAGAAGTGTCCAGTCAATAAGGCTGAACCACTCATATGTGAAAGAATCAGGTCTCTGTGGGAAAATAGTAGTTTTTGAACTGCATTAAAATTGCATTACATCAAACAGACGAAATAATGTTCTTGTTTTCTTTAGCAATGTCATATGACCCCTTTTAAATAGAAGTATTAAACTGAACTTCATTCATTCACTGGTCTCATCTCTCTGTGTGTGTGTGTGTGTGTGTGTTTGTAGGGAGGCATTATGGAGCTGTGAGCTGTGAGGGCTGTAAGGGTTTCTTCAAGCGGAGCGTGCGCAAGAGTCTGACCTACAGCTGCAGGAGTAACCAGGACTGTGTGATCAACAAACACCACCGCAACCGCTGCCAGTTCTGCCGGCTCCGCAAGTGCCTGGAGATGGGCATGAAGATGGAGTGTGAGTGACGCAGAAACAGCAGGGCTGGGGGGCGATGAATGCAATCGAGAAATTATTCTGCATCCGTTTTGAAGTTTTGCACTGCAATATATATACAGAATTATTCACCCTCCTGTGTTTTTTATTGAACAGATTCAGGAATTTTTCACAGTATTTCCTATAATATTTGTTCTTCTGGAGAAAGTCTTAGTTGTTTTATTTCGGCTAGAATAAAAGTAGTTTTTTATTTGTTTTAAAGCCATTTTAAGGTTAATATTATTAGCCCCATTAAGCAATATTAGTGTTGGATTGTCTCCAGAACAAACCACTGTTATACAATGACTTGCCTAATGAACCTAATTAACCTAGTTAAGCCTTTAAATGTCACTTTAAGCTGAATAGTGTTGCACAAAAATGACCTATATTTAATATAAAAAGTTATTTTTGGACTGGATATATTGGATTTATGTATAAATAGATATAATATTAGATATAACACTGGCTCTGATGCATTTTGTGCAGCATCAGATTAAAAACTTTTCTCCCTCATTGATGTTCTTGGCTATATTTGCCCCATTGACTTCCATAATAATCACATTTATTTATTGCAAAGCCATGTCAGCATATAATCATGCATTCTTGGTTGTTCTTGTTTTTCCCTGTTGGAAGAAGGGACACTGTTATTTTTCCTGTTGAACATCAGTTGACAGCATTAACCCTTGAGATAGGCCTGTGCTAAAGCGTTTCTGGCTTGTATATGGAGTATAACAGGAGATTATAGTGTGTGTGCAGAAATACATTTACTATGTTTTTGTTTACTCCATGTAGTTCTGAGAGCTGAGGTGCTTATTTTGATTTTCTCAGACATTTCAAGGTAAGTGGGCAAAGGTTTCTCTCACACCCTCACACACACACGCGTACACACACCCTATACTTCAAATAAAAGCCAGAAACTATGCTTTTTTTGCACTGCAACTGATGATCATCAGTAAAATAACTAGTTGTACCGCTTCCCGTAAATGAAAACCACCAGAAATGGTGTTATGTTATCATATATGTTATCACCAGTTATGGTGTCATGGCATTGCAATCAAAAATGTGATTATAATGGAAGTCAATGGGGCCAAAACAGCCACCAACATAGTAAAAGGGTAGTAAATGAAAAGTATTTTTCCAAAATATGTGTCAAAATAAGATTAGTCAGCAAAAATCTAGCAGTGCTTCCCACATGTAGACTTTACTTGGGCGGGCCCCATTGTGTGTTAATTCAGCTATCACCGCAAGTATATTCAAATCTATGGGAAGCACTGTCTAGGGTAGTTTTGAACAGCAGATGGCGCTCTAAACAAGTTTTCTAACAGCATTTTGTTCGTTTTATAACTCTCGTAGCTGTACAAAGTGAGCGGAAACCCATCGATCTTCCTCGAGAAAAACCTGCGAACTGTGCAGCGTCTACAGAGAAAATCTACATCAGGAAAGACCTGCGCAGTCCGCTTATCGCAACACCCACCTTCATCTCTGAGAAAGATAGCTCACGGTGAGACACACACACACACACACACACACATACACAAAAAGACGGATGGATGGATGAATGGATGGACAGATGGGTGGTTTGGTGGATGGATAGACAGGCAGACAGACAGGTGGATGGATGGATGGATGGATGGGTGTGTGGGTGGGTGTATGGATGGATGGAAGGATGGATGGACATAGATGGATGGATGGATAGACAGACAAACAGACAGACAGACAGGTAGATAGATGGATGGATGGATGCATAGATGGATGATGGATGGGTGGATGGACGGACAGACGGATGGATGTATAGATAGATAGATAGATAGACAGACAGACAGGCAGATAGATGGATAGATAGACAGATAGTTAGATGGATGGATGGATGGATGGATGGGCGGACGGACCGAGGGATGGATGGATGGATGGATGGATGGATGGATGGATGGATGGATGGATGGATGGATGGATGGATAGACAGACAGACAGGTAGATAGATGGATGGATGGATGGATGGATGGATAGATGGATGATGGATGGGCGGACGGACGGACAGACGGATGGATGGATGGATCGATAGATAGACAGACAGGCAGATAGATGGATGGATGGATGGATGGATGGATGGATGGATGGATGGATGGATGGATGGATGGATGAACGGATGGACGAATGGATGGATGGATAGATGGATGGATAGACAGACAGACAGGTGGATGGATGGATGGATGGATGGATGGATGGATGGATGGATGGATTGACAGACAGACAGACAGGTAGATGGATGGATGGATGGATGGATGGATGGATGGATGGATGGATGGATGGATGGATAGATGGATGATGGTTGGCCGGCCAGGCGGACGGACAGACGGATGGATGGATGGATGGATAGATAGATAGATAGGTAGACAGACCAATAGACAGACAGACAGACAGGCAGATAGATGGATGGATAGATAGATGGATGGATGGATGGATATGTAAAGTTTGGCATATGTAGTTGGAAAATGTAGACTGGTGTAAAACTGTAAAATTTGCTTTAGGTAATCAGATTATAGACATTAATAAAACAGTACACATTTCTGTATGTAATCATAAACTAAAGTGGAATAAACAGTAAAAATGTGCTTTATGTGTTGAGAATATAGATAAGAATAAATGTGTAAATATTGTATGTAATAATGCTGTAATATTGATGGGAATAAAACTGTCAAATCTGCCGGATATATTTGAGTCATTTTGTTTTTTGATTGTTTGCAAAATAATACAGGTTTGATGATGTTTTTTCTCTGTTTTAATTCTCTGCAGGTCCAAGCTGTTGGATTCTGGGATGCTCGTCAATATCCAGCAACCCTTAATACAGGCTGATGGCACATTACTGTTAGCAACAGACAAGGTAAACACATCTACATGACACAGTATGTTAGTCTATTATTATTTGTTTTGTGTTGTGCAAGAAACGTTTGTAAGAATCTTGGGCATCATTTCTATGTGCTTGTGTTGTGAGGATTTGCAGAGCTCCTAATAGAAGAGCTGTAGATTTTTTCTCTTATCATATTCTAAAATCTTAAAGCAGATGTTTGTTTCCTCAGACGGAGTCGGGGCAGGGTGATCTGGGGACACTCGCTAATGTGGTCACATCATTAGCAAACCTGAACGATTCGCTCAGTAATGGAGAAGCAACAGACGGGCAGCTGGAGGAGTCGCCCAGTGAAATCACACGGTGTGTTAATTATACAGACAACATCTGTGTACTCTGTGCATCACTATTCCCATCACCGTCTGTGTTTTTGACTTCAGAACATTAGTTTTGGCTGAGTTAATTAATTAATTTCATCCAGCGGAAACGCATGCAGTCTGCCTGAGCAGGGTGTCTAAGCTTTTCTCACTTAGAGTTTTTGTCTTGTTTCTTGTCCAAATATCTAAAAAGTCTTAAATCAAGAAGTATTTTCTAGACAAGTACAAAATATTGTGTTGTTTACAGAAATAATGAGTCAAAATGAAGTGAGTTTTACCTTAAAACAAGCTAAATAATCTGTTAATGGGGGAAGAGAAATAATCTTATGTCAAAAGGAAAAACAAGATTACTTTTCTCTTCGCATTGGCAGATTATTTTGCTTGTTTTAAGGAAAAACGCTAAAATGCATGTATTTTAGAGAATGGTGTTGTTCAATCAACTTAAATTTGTCATAACCAATTAACTCAACTGATTTTAATTTTGGGAAACATTAATTAATTGTGTGGAGCTCTGCATTTTTACAGTTTAGTAATAGTAGTAGCAGTATTATTATTATTATTATTATTATTAGTAATTATAGTAGCATTATTATTATTATTATTATTATTATTAGTAGTAGTAGTAGTAGTATTAGTAGTAGTAGTTGTCGTAGTCATAGTAGTAGTAGTAGTCATCAAAGTAGTGGTCATAGTAGTAGTAGTAGTTGTTGTAGTAGTATTATTAGTAGTAGTAGGAGTATTCATTATTGTAGTCACAGTCATAATAGTGGTCGTAGTATTATTATTAGTAGTAGTAGTAGTAGTAGTAGTCTTCGTAGTAGTAGTCATAGTCGTAGTAGTAGTAGTAGTAGTCATCGTAGTAGTAGTAGTTGTTGTCGTAGTGGTCGTATTATTATTATTATTATTATTATTAGAAGAGGTAGTAGTTATCTTAGTAGTAGTCATAGAAGTAATTGTAGTATTATTATTAGTAGTAGTATTAGTAGTTGTAGTAATAGTATTATTATTATTAGTAGTAGTAGTCATCGTATTATTATTATTATTATTATTATTATAAGTAGTAGTAGTCATCATAGTAGTAGTCGTAGTATTAATATTATTAGTAGTAGTAGTAGTAGTCATCGTAGTTGTACTCGTAGTAGTCGTAGTATTATTATTGTCATTATTATTAGTAGTAGTAGGTGTCGTTGTAGTATTATCATTAGTAGTAGTAGTCATCGTATTAGTTGTAGTAGTAGTCATCTTATTAGTTGTAGTAGTAGTCGTCGTAGTAGTAGTAGTATTTTTAATAATAGTAGTCGTAGTAGTAGTGGTATTATTATTAGTAGTAGTAGTCGTCGTCGTAGTATTAGTTGTCATAGTATTATTATTATTAGTAGTAGTAGTCGTAGTTGTCGTAGTAGTAGTAGTCATAGTTGTAATAGTAATAGAAGTTATCTTTGTTGTCGTAGTATTATTATTATTATTATTAGTAGTAGTCATCGTAGTTGTACTCGTAGTAGTCGTAGTATTATTATTGTCATTATTATTAGTAGTAGTAGGTGTCGTAGTAGTATTATCATTAGTAGTAGTAGTAGTAGTAGTCATCGTATTAGTTGTAGTAGTAGTCATCTTATTAGTTGTAGTAGTAGTCGTCGTAGTAGTAGTAGTATTTTTAATAATAGTAGTAGTAGTGGTATTATTAGTAGTAGTAGTAGTCGTCATCGTAGTAGTAGTTGTCATAGTATTATTATTATAAGTAGTAGTAGTAGTCGTAGTTGTCATAGTAGTAGTAGTCATAGTTGTAATAGTAATAGAAGTTGTCTTTGTCGTCGTAGTATTATTATTATTATTATTAGTAGTAGTCATCGTAGTTGTACTCGTAGTAGTCGTAGTATTATTATTGTCATTATTATTAGTAGTAGTAGGTGTCGTAGTAGTATTATCATTAGTAGTAGTAGTAGTAGTCATCGTATTAGTTGTAGTAGTAGTCATCTTATTAGTTGTAGTAGTAGTCGTCGTAGTAGTAGTAGTATTTTTAATAATAGTAGTTGTAGTAGTAGTGGTATTATTAGTAGTAGTAGTAGTCGTCATCGTAGTAGTAGTTGTCATAGTATTATTATTATAAGTAGTAGTAGTAGTCGTAGTTGTCATAGTAGTAGTAGTCATAGTTGTAATAGTAATAGAAGTTGTCTTTGTCGTCGTAGTATTATTATTATTATTAGTAGTAGTAGTAGTCATCGTAGTTGTACTCGTAGTAGTCGTAGTATTATTATTGTCATTATTATTAGTAGTAGTAGGTGTCGTAGTAGTATTATCATTAGTAGTAGTAGTAGTAGTAGTCATCGTATTAGTTGTAGTAGTAGTCATCTTATTAGTTGTAGTAGTAGTCGTCGTAGTAGTAGTAGTATTTTTAATAATAGTAGTCGTAGTAGTAGTGGTATTATTAGTAGTAGTAGTAGTCGTCATCGTAGTAGTAGTTGTCATAGTATTATTATTATTAGTAGTAGTAGTCGTAGTTGTCGTAGTAGTAGTAGTCATAGTTGTAATAGTAATAGAAGTTGTCTTTGTCGTCGTAGCATTATTATTATTATTATTAGTAGTAGTAGTAGTAATAGCATTATAATTATTGTTATTAGTAGTAGTCCTTGTAGTAGTTGTATTATTATTATTATTACTATTATTATTTCTGAATGAAAAAAAGCTTGTGTTTTCTCTGCTTCAACAATTTCCATTTTTATTATTTATTATCAACACCAAAAGTCCCATTCATGGTGATTTTATTTATTTAATATTTTAAATGTATTGATTTATATATATATATATATATATATATATATATATAAAAGTGTATTCATAATTAATTTATCATTTATTTATTTAATTTTAATGGCTTTATTCAACCTTAAAATATTCTTAAATTTCAAAGGGTTAATTTTAAATGTAAATGTATTGTTGCTCGTCTGTGTGTGTGTGTTTGTGTGGCTGCAGTGCCTTTGACACTCTGGCTAAAGCGCTGAACCCCGGCGAGCTGACGGAGAGCCAGAGTCTGTCTGAGGTGGACGGAGTGGGCGGAGCTACAATACAGGTGATCAGCAGAGATCAGATCTCGCCACTCATAGAGGTGGAGGGACCGCTGCTCACCGACACACATGTCAGCTTTAAGGTGCGTATAAAAAAATGATATTTGTAATGTCTGTACTGTCGTCATTATCTGATTACAGAATTAAGCAGAGATCATGTTTGGTGACTTGGTTTTTTATTTGCGAGGTCAAGCAGTAGATCAAAGAAAGTTGGTCATATAAAGGAATAGTTGTAACGAATATATTGCATGTAAAGAATATGAATATGAAAGTGTGTTTGATTATTTGTGTGTGTGTGTGTAGCTGACGATGCCCAGCCCGATGCCGGAGTATCTGAATGTACATTATATCTGTGAGTCGGCTTCACGTCTCCTCTTCCTCTCCATGCACTGGGCGAGATCTATCCCAGCATTCCTTGCTCTCGGGTGAGATGTCTGTCATTGGGTTTCTCTGTGTGCTGATGTGTGCTTCCTCCAGTGTATGTCAGTATTTCGATACAGTTCATTTGTATATATATGTGTGTGTGTGTTCCCATTTGTCAAAAGTAATGGAAACCAATGGAATGTCCCCACGATTCATAAAAGCAAATGTGTGTGTAGGCAGGAGTGTAACACCGCTCTGGTTCGGGCCTGCTGGAATGAGCTGTTTATTCTGGGTCTGGCTCAGTGTGCTCAGATCATGAGTCTGTCCACCATCCTCACCGCCATCGTCAATCATCTGCAGTCCAGCATCCAGGACGGTACAGTACAGTTAAACCCCACATACTGGGAGAAAGTCAGAATTTTTCGCCCTCCTGTATATTTTTTTCCCAAAATGTCTATTTAACAGAGAGTAGATTTTGTTCAACACGTTTCTAATTATAATAGTTTTACTAACTCATTTCTAATAATTTTATCTTTGCCATGATGACAGCACATAATATTAGACTAGATATTCTTCAAGACACTAGTATTCAGCTTAAAGTGACATGTAAAGGCTTCACTAGGGTAATTAGGGTAAAGTTAGAGTAATTAGGCAAGTCATTGTATAACAGTGGTTTGTTCTGGAGACAATCCAAAACTAATATTGCTTAAGGGGGCGAATAATATTAACCTTAAAATGAGTTTAAAACAATTAAAAACTGCTTTTATTCTAGCCGAAATAAAACAAATCAGACTTTCTCCAGAAGAACAAATATTATAGGAAATACTGTGAACAATTCCTGAATCTGTTCAACATCATTTGGGAAATATTGGGAAAAAGAATAAAAAAATTCACAGGAGGGCGAATAATTTTCACTTCAACTGTTTGCGCAGTGCATTATGCTAATGTCAGTATTGTATGATGGGATAAAATGGTTAGTGTTCATCAGATGTACAAAGTAACATTTGGTATCATATAGAATATATATATATATATATATATTTAGTAACACAATCACGTATGTATAGTAACATTTTCCTTTTTACATTTTAAGAGCTTTGTCTAAAAAATGACCACAATAAAGACTGTGTGCTCTTGAGATTTTTAATTAATTAATTCATTCATTCATTTTCTTTTCGGCTTAGTTCCTTTATAAATCTCGGGTTGCCACAGCAGAATGAACCGCCAACTTATCTAGCATATGTTTTACACAGCGGATGCCCTTCCAGCACACACATTCACACACATACACTACGGACAATTAAGCTTAAGGCTGATTTTTACTTCTGCGTCAAACGCCGGCGTATGCTATGGCGCTGACGCATTGCCCTTCGCCGTGGCCGTCGGCGTCGTTGAGATGCACCTCTCAAAAAATGTAACTACACGTCGCAACGATGCGTAGCGTAAGCTCTGTGATTGGTCGGCTTGGTAGCGCTGACGAGTCTGGGCGGGACCGAGAGCCGCGCGAATGGCGCTAGCGATTGTTTACAAGTGTGGAGTCCCGTGAAGGAGCTCCGGATGGAAAGTTTTGTTTTTTGTGTTTACCTCATAGTTAAAGTTGTTGCACGTTCGCCGGTTCCTGCCTCAAAATGAGCGAGTTTGAGCCACTTGTACAACCAGGAGGTGTTCAGAAAAAGCAAAACAGAAGCGAAGAAACTCGACAGAGAGGAACATTAACACCTCACTGCCCACTAGCACTTCGGAAGTGTTAATGCAGAGCAACAGAGACAGCGTGCAGAAGGATAAATGCACAGCTGCGCGCGTTGCATGCACCGTGAGTGACGCCGGTCAATTGATGCAGAAGTATAAACCAGGCTTTACCCAATTCACCTGTACCGCACACCTTTCGACTTGTGAGGAAAACCGGAGCACATGGAGGAAACCCAAACGAACATGGAGAGAACATGCAAACTCCTCCACACAGTAACGCCCACTGATCCAGCCGAGGCTCGAACCAGCAACCTTTTTACTGTGAGGCAATTGTGTTACCCACTCTGCCACTGCGCTGCTTTATTTATTTATTTATTATTTTTTAGTTTTTATTTCAAGAGCTTTGTCTAAAAAAATGACCACTCTGAGTGTTAGACTGTGTGCATTTCCTTTTTAATTCATTTTCAAACACCTAAGGGCTCTTGTAATGGCTAATCAATGAATGAAAAATGACATTCAGAAAAATGTAACTATTAAATAAAACTACTCAAACTAATTTAATATTATGCAAAGCACAACAACGCCTTGTTTTTCCGTGCATTGGTCAGTGAAATTCATCGTTTTTCAGAGAAAAGTCAGGGTTATTTGAACGTTTGTCCCTATAGTCTGTACTAATCTAACAGCTGATCTCCTCTCAGTAGACAAGCTATCAAGTGAACGCATCAAACTCGTGATGGAGCACATCTGGAAGCTGCAGGAGTTCTGCAACAGCATGGCGAAGCTGCAGACGGACGCTTATGAATACGCATACCTAAAAGCCATCGTGCTCTTCAGTCCAGGTACATCAGCTTAACACACTCCTTCTGTTGCACCCTTTTCTCAGCGCTGTAGTGGACATAGTTGAAAGCGCAGTGAATGGAAGAGTACAGCAAATCATTATTTTACAATCCTATTAGCTGAAATAATGACAGAAAAACTCCCGGATGGTGTGATCAAGACTTTCAGAAAGAGGAAAACAATAGTAACGGCAGCCAGAAGAGAGAATCATGTTAGATTTACAGTCCTGCACCCTTACACACTGCATTACACCCCATACACACTGGGCGTCAGCGTCAACGCTTCCCATTCACTTTGAATGGGTGATGTCAGGCGTTGCCGAACTGCATTGTGGAGACGGAAGCGTCAGCCAATCAGATCGCTGTATGCAAATACACCAGCTAGACAGTGACTTATTGCTGACTGAATTTCATTGGCTGATGCTGCTATGACGATCACTTCAGACACACCTTCTGTTAAGCATTGATGCTGAACCCTAGTGTGAATGGGGCGTTACACACACCTCACACAAGTGCTTATTCATTCATTCATTTTCTTGTCGGCTTAGTCTCTTTATTAATCCTGGCTTGCCACAGCAGAATGAACCACCAACTTATCCAGCAAGTTTTTACGCAGCGGATGCCCTTCCAGATGGGAAACATCCACACACACACTCATACACTACGGACAATTTAGCCTACCCAATTCCCCTGTACCGCATGTGTTTGGACTGTGGGAGAAACCGGAGCATCCGGAGGAAACCCACGCGAACGCAGGGAGAACATGCAAACTCCACACAGAAATGCCAACTGAGCCGAGGTTCGAACAGGCGACCTTCTTGCTGTGAGGCGACAGCACTACCTACTGCACCACTGCCCTGCCCTAGTGCTCATTCAGTTTTTGGTAGTTTGATGCAGAGATGATCTAATACACACATAAATACATATAAATATTTTAGAATTTTAAAAATAAATCTTAATATTAAAAACTATCAAGGATTTAAGATGCTGAGGATTGTTAAACGCATCATAACGCATGGTCTTGTGAAAAGGGTCCTGAACTCACAGCTGCTCCGTTTCTTCTCCAGATCATCCAGGTTTGAGTAGCTGCAGCCAGATTGAAAAGTTTCAGGAGAAAGCGCAGATGGAGCTCCAGGACTATGTGCAGAAGACCTATCCGGATGAAACCTACAGGTCAGCTCCATGTTGATATCAGACTATGGAGAAATGCATCTTATAGCTCTGATATAATCACTACTATTGAGATAAGAACAGTGGCGTAGCGCAAAATGCGGAGGCCCCCCTGCAGGGATCGCTGACGGGGCCCCCTGATGATGGGGGTGGGGGGGGGATACGTCATACGTCAATTTGCATATCACTGACGTCATCACGTTCTACCGTTTCTGTTTGTTTAACAGCATATGGTTAATAAAGGGGTATTTATAATTGCACTACACTTTATTTAAGCATGTTTATTTAACTTAATGTATTGCTGTTTGAATACAGTATGTCATTATAGATGTGTAGTGAATGTGCAGTAATCTCTCATATGTAATAAACTCAGACAAGTTCAGAAACTGTCACTAAAATATCTGTGATTGTGAACAAGAAAAGAATAAACGGTCCAATTAAATTGTGTAAATAAAGTAGAAGTAGATCGGTTTGACTGTACAAGGGAAAAACCTTCACACTGCCTGTGCTAAATCATTTGTCATCGGTACGCAGAGGGGTGATCTGCTCTCGGGCTGCAGGTGGGAGAGGCTGCTGTAGAGCAGTGGTTCTCAAAGTGGGGGTCGGGACCCCCCGAGGGGTCGCGGGGCAATGAAGGGGGGTCGTCTGGTGATTTCCAAAAATCTATTTATTTTTATTAAACCATAAGAATTAACATATTTTGTCCATAACTATACTGAAAATAAAAATAGTCGTTTATAGTTACTATATACTATATAGTTACTATAGTAGCTTATAGTTACAGTTCTATTGGATTGCGACCCCTGGGGTAATTACATTATATTAAAGGCAGCAATAGCGTCAGATGCATTTTGATTTTATAACTTCAGGTTATACTTTCTGGCACATTTAAAGCACTGACACAAATTTAATTGGTGTGTCTGCGTCATTGCATGCAAGGTTTCTGTATTTATAACCACCTCAGAGGATATTGGGGGTCGCGAGTCACTGGCATTGTTATTTTGGGGGTCGCGGGCTGAAAAGTTTGGGAACCCCTGCTGTAGAGGACTGACTGGGCCGCCTGTCAGTGCTGTGAGGCGGGGGAGGGGCCGGCGGCATCACACGCATTTCGTTGAGAAGAGTAGGGGCGGTACAGACAGTCTAAAAAAAATCTCCAATAACACACAAAAAAGTCGCTAGATTTGTTGCTAGGGGGGTCTGAAAAGTCGCTAAATCTAGTGACAAAGATGACAACATTGGCGGCAAGCAATCAGAATGAAGTAGTCCACCGCTTGAGAGGTGTTCAGAGAACACAGACCTGTGAACTTTGGTTCCGACAACAGGTGTTCCAAAGAGTTTGATTATTGCGGTTGCCGGATTTTCAATTATTGAAAATCGCGACGACGCGGGGCCCCCCCACGGTGCGTGCCCTGCGGGCCCGTCCGCTACGCCACTGGTTAAGAAGAAGTGTGAAATATTGGCCTGCACGGTGCTGAGAAGATACGCGATATTGTTGTCGAGTGATAATGATATTTCTCATTTAACTCATTTTTCAAGTTAGCTTTTTTACTAATATGTATGATACGAATATTTATCTACCGTAAAGATGCTTAATTATGCAAATGAAATTAATTGCGGATTGATACTACAGGTTGGCTCGAATCCTGCTGCGATTACCGGCGTTGCGTTTGATGAGTTCCAGCATAACCGAGGAGCTGTTCTTCACCGGCCTCATCGGAAACGTACCGATCGACAGCATCATCCCATATATCCTCAAAATGGAGACTGCAGACTACAACAGCCAAATCACAGCCCCCTCCGTGTGACCATCGTTTCATGCGATTCCCATCATCCCTCGCCCCCGAATACATCGCATTATACTGAACCGACCAACAAGCTCTACCTCAAGAGGAGCTGCGACAGCGAAAGCCTTTCTGAAGCGCTACCCGATTGATATTGTGTTGTAGTTTACAGAGAGAGATGCATTATGGGACTTTGAGTTCCAGGACATTTGCCTCAAATTAAAGGCCTTTCTTATTTTGTAAACTTTAATTTAAAGAAAGAGAAACACTTGAGCACTTCGAGATGATTCCAATGGAAAAATCCCAATTTTTTTTTGAATCGCCCTCGTTAATATTCATAATTATCAAAAGCATGAGCATTTTCATAAGGAGATGTGACTGAATGTATCGGCTGATTACATGATCCAACAAAGGTATGATTTCATTCAGATTTGTTTCTCTCTCTCTGACCGTACAGCCATTGAAATGAATGGGAATTTAGTGTTTTTCCTGCAGCTCTTAATTTATCCGTACTGTCACTCCTGTCGTCACGACAATCAGCTTCTGCTCAATATATCCGGCTTTTCCTTTGCTGTATTTATTTCAGCTCTAAAGCGCATACAAATGTAGATCTTCGCTTGATTTCCAAAATCACGTATGCTATAGGAGATCTTCAATCGGTGTCTTTAAAGCATCTTTATCGCTGCTGCAATTGTCGTTTTCAAGATGTAATATATCCATAAACATGATGCACTTAGGTTCCTAACATGTTTTTATTCGCAGATCTGCGCACTTAAGTTACATTTGTACATTTTAATTTGTCTTTTTTTTAAGAAAGATGTCTCGTTTTGTCCCAAATGTGATGCATTGACATGCACTTATTTAACATGCTGTTTCTGAAACAGAAATGTTGACCCAGGCTGTATTTGTTTGGGTTTAAAATCGGTAGACTCTTCCAGACTATGTTAGCCTGATGCTATTGGTTAGCCACCTTGTTTGTTTAGGTTCGAACTACCATTAACATTATTATATAGGTTGTTACAAGGTGTTTGTAGCTTAATATACAACATTAACCCAGATAATATAGCACTGCAAACTATTAAAATGACAATAAAAGTCACTTTTTACAACGTTTAAAGATTAAAAGCTAAAGATTAAGATCCCATAATGCAATTTAAAAGCAGAAATAAACCAAACATGAATCACAAAATATGAAAAACTACTAATTTACTGATGTTTTGTTATTTTTTATAGTGTATAATGTTTATAATGTGTGTTTTTTTTACTGTTTTAGAGTCATTTCTTCTTGGCCTCATTAATTATGTCCCAAAAAACAACTTGTTATTGTTTTAAAAGCACGATGGCCTCATACAAGTATTTATTTTAACATGGTTTGAACACATTTTTTATTTGATGCCCAATGTTTCTGATCTGTCAATGACTGGTTTATAGGTGTTGTAAATCTATATTGCTGTCTGTCTTCATCTGTCTGTGAGACGATAAGAAAAGCTGTGCATGAAGAGCTCATCAATTTGATTCTGATGTGGAGTTTAAATATTGTGGCTTGAGGAAATAATATATATATATATATTTACAGTGCATTCAGAAAGTACCCATTCGCATTCATTCTTGACCATTTTGTTTATTCAGAAGTGCATATACGTTTAATTCATGCTTGATTACAGAGCTGAAACCAGATTTGTGATAACTTTTGCAGATGTATTAAAATGCAAACACTGACATGTGACAATTCTGTTTTTAAGAAGCACAAATGACCATTTTTTCATAGGGGTGAATGAAAATGACTGGTTGTCTATAGTGTTCTCATTTTGTGCAATATAGCATAAAAACAAAATTTACACTCACCGGCCACTTTATTAGGTACACCTTACTAGTACCAGGTGTGACCCCCTTTTACTTTCAGAACTGCCTTAATCTTTCATGGCGTAGATTCAACAAGCTACTGGAAACATTGGACGTGTTGTGTGTTCAGAGATGCTCTTCTGCAGAGCTCGGTTGTAACGAGTGCTTATTTGAGTTACTGTTGCCTTTCTATCAGCTGGAACCAGTCTGGCCATTCTCCTCTGGCCTCAACAAGGCATTTGTGCCCACAGAACTGCCGCTCACTGGATGTTTCCTCATTGTCGGAGCATTCTCTGTAAACCCTAGAGATGGTTGTGCGTGAAAATCCCAGTAGATCAGCAGTTTCTGAAATACTCAGAGCAGCCCGTCTGGCATCATCAACCATGCCACCTTCAAAGTCACTTAAATCCCCTTTCTTTCCCATTCTGATGCTTGTTTTGACCTGCAGCACACCCTCTTGACCATGTCTACAAGCCTAAATGCATTGAGCTGTTGCCATGTGATTGGCTGATTAGACATTTGTGTTAACCAGCAGTTAGACAGGTGTACCTAATAAAGTGGCCAGTGAGTGTATAATAGAATTTCTATTAAAGAGGAAATGAAGGACTCAGTCAAGTTTACCTTATTTTGTACACTGGATTCCACTTTAATGAAAATATATTAAACAATCTCGATTAATGTAACCATTTAGAAGAAAACGGCATGTTTTACTATAGATTTTAGACCCGAGTATACCATGATTTTGGCTATAATCAAACATAATAAGGATTTTAAAATTTTAAAATGAGGACCAAGAAACTCATCTGCTTCTTTAATGATGTATTTTCTGTAATTTGATGAGCTGTAGCTGTAAAGACTGCAGGATTTTACTTGGTTTTATTTATAAATTGTGTCCATTTCTTTCACTTAAAAATTTCTGCTCAGTCTGAATAAATGATGACGCAATCGATGAGGCGTGGCTACGCAGGCTGACGTAATCAGAGAAAGAAGCAGACTTTTTATTTGTATTTTTTTAAAGGTCAGATTTTAATTAAAAATGACCAAAATGTTTTGTTGTTACAGTGAATTACCTTCACAGATTAATTGTTAACATTCAGAATAGACACCAAGTGTTGTTTTCATGCGGACTTAAAACACTAATCATGTCTAATTATTCTTTTAAAATGTATAGAAATGTAGTTATTCACTTGTAAATGGTTTTGTTTACATGTTTTTCTGCAAGCATTATGAAAAGTTCGTGCGTCCTCCAATCCTCCAGAAGGCGCTGAACGCGAGTATTGTTTGCGCATGCGCTGTCAATAAACGAGCGAGAAGAGCCTCAGCAGCAGCAGCAGCATGAGCAGACGAGTACAGATAATTTCTGTAAATTCATAATTTATACCAATAAATCCTATAATCATGCCGATGAAGGGCAGATTCCCCATACGGAGGACACTGGAGTATCTGCAGAAAGGAGAAGTGGTGTTTAAGAAGTCCGTGCGGATTATGACCGTCAATTATAACACACATGGAGACCTGAGTGAAGGAGCAAGGTCAGACATAAACAATAACCGTCTTTATTAGCTGAAAACAATACGATTTATTGATTTTCTTTACTGTCAGTGCGGTTAGGGTGAGACTTTGCAGGTGAATGGGATAAAAAAAAATGAACTAATAGTTAATACATACCCATCCTTCCCACGACATTATTAATATAGTGTTTTTTAACCACACTGTAGTAAAGTATTGGGCTAAAGTTGGCTTATATTCGCACTTTTTGACTTTCTTCTTGATAATATAATATCTAAAATATAACAACTTTGTTTGTAGTTAATTAAATAGTGCTAATGATGTTTAATTTGAAGTCATGTTTACATTAGGATATCCAAGGTATATTCAAAGTAGCGTAATAAACAATATAAAGATCGTGTCAACAAGCTGTCCCTGTTCACAAATAGACGAATGAGCGAATGTGAAACCAACTCAATATTATACTACTAAAACACTTCGTTAATGAATTCTCTCCAGCATACTGTAGTATTAACAATAGTGACCTGAATTAACTGTAATAAACACTGTAGTATACTTTCTTTTTTACTACAGTAAACCTTTGGTGTTGTAGTGTAAAATACCTTATAGTTGTTGAAGAAAACTACTACAGTCATTGTTATTATAGCAACTTTATAATCACAACATCTGATTAACTGAAGAAGTTTACTATGATTTTTTCGTATGGTTTAAAATTCATTCAATCATTCATTCATTCATTTTGATGTCGGCTTAGTCCCTTTATTAATCTGGGGTTGCCACAGTGGAATGAACCGCTAACTTATCCAGCATATGTTTTATGCAGCGGATGCCCTTCCAGCTGCAACCCATCACTATGAAACACCCAAACACTCTCATTCACACACATACACTACGGGCGATTTAGCCTACCCAATTATTACTATTATATTTTTCTTATAGTTGTCTGAAATCTGCATTGTTTAAACAAACTTTTTTATTGAGATGTAACACAAATGTGACAATATAAGCAGTGTGCATTTTAAACAAAAAAAGCTTACTGTTATGTTCTTAAGAAAACCAAAACCAACCACTGTTATACAATGACTTGCCTAATTACCCTAACTTTACCCTAATTACCCTAGTGAAGCCTGTAAATGTCACTTTATGCTGAATACTAGTGTCATGAAGAATATCTAGTCTAATATTATGTGCTGTCATCATGGCAAAGAGAAAATACATCAGTTATTAGAAATGAGTTATTAACACTGTTATGAGCAGAAATGTGTTGAAGATCACATGAGAAATGTTTAATAAAGAGTGACCTTTTCTAAGGGATGCTGTTGTTTGTCTTCTACTGTAATCTGTTGACTGTAGTTGTGAAAGTCCCTCTTGAGTTGTTTTATTTGCTGTTTTTCAGGTCGTTTGTGTTCTTCAAAATCCCTCAGATCCAGTACAGAAACCCGTGGGTGCAGATCATGATGTTCAAGAACATGACGCCGTCTCCATTCCTGCGCTTCTACCTCGGTCAGTGTGTGTGTGTGTGTGTGTGTGTGTATGTTTGTATTTGTGTGTATGTATTTGTTTATGTGTGTATTTGTGTCTGTGTTTGATTGTGTGTGTGTGTGTGTGTGTGTGTGTGTGTGTGTGTGTTTAGATGACGGTGAGCAGGTTCTGGTGGATGTGGAGGGAAAACACTATAAAGAAATCACAGAACACGTCAAGAAGATCCTCGGCAAGACTGAGTGAGTCCTGCTTCAACACACACACACACACACACACACACTTTATTATCAACACCTCCAAATTGATTCTTTTTAGAATCTACTCTCTATTCTCAACTTCTCGAAATTGATTTGTTTTTTGGAATCGACTCTCTATTCTCAACATTTCCGAATTGATTCTTTTTAGAATCGACTCTCTATTCTCAACTTCTCAGAGATGATTCTTTTTTAGAATCAACTCTACTCTCAACACCTCCGAATTTGTTCTTTTTGGAGTGAACTCTCTTAACGCCTCAAAATTGATTCTTTTGTGCAATCGACTCTCTTAATGCCTCGGAATACATTCTCTTTTGGAATCAAATCTTTATTCTGAACACTTCGGAATTAATTCTTTTTAGAATTGACTCTCTCTTCTCAATTCATCAGCTTTGATCCTTTTTGGGAATCATCTCTATTCTCAACGCTGCGAAATTGATTCGTTTTTTGGAATCGACTCTCTATTCTCAACTTCTCAGAGTTAATATTCTGTTTTGGAATCGACTCTACTCAACACCTCTAAATTGATTCTTTTTAGAATAAATTCTCTATTCTCAACGTCTCAGGATAAATTCTTTTTAGAATCAACTTTATATTCTCAATGCCTCCAGGATTGATTTTTTTAGAATCGACTCTTTATTCTCAACTCATCAGCGTAGATTCTTTTTGGGAATCATCTCTATTCTCAACGCTGCGAAATTGATTTGTTTATTGTAATCTACTCTCTATTCTCAACACCTCCGAATTGATTCTTTTTGGAATCAACTCTCTATTCTCAGCATTTCTGAATTGATTCTTTTTTAGAATCGACTCTCTATTCTCAACTTCTCAGAGTTGATATTCTGTTTTGGAATCGACTCTATTCTCAACACCTCCGAATTGATTCTTTTTGGAATCGACTCTCTTAACCCCTCGGAATTTATTCTCTTTTGGAATCAAATCTTTCTTCTAAACACCTCAAAATGTATTATTTTTAGAATCGACTCTTTTCTCAACTCCTCTGAATTGATTTTGTTTGTTTTGTTCATCTCTCTTCTTTGTTTCTCTCTCCTCCATTTGTGTGATTCCATATAATTTATGTACCTCTTTGCATAATAATGTTTAATAAAATGTTCTTCTGTTTGGAATCGTCTCCCAGTGAATGTTCTGACTCTCGTCTGTCCTTCTGTGTCCACAGTGAAGTTCTGCAAGCTGAAGCTGCAGCTAAAATGGAGCTGTTCAATCCTGCAAACTTCGGGCCCAAGAAGTACTTCCTGCGGGAGTGCATGAGTGAAGTGGAGGGCCAGGTTCCACATCCCGGACGAGTCCCGCTGCCAAAAGAGATGACCGGGAAATACAAGGCCAAGATGGCGGCAACCGCAGACGAATAGAAAACAAATCTTCTTCAGTCCTTTTGTTTATTTTTTGTTGTTGAACTGTTGTACTTTTGATAAACATGACGTTATATTTTGAGGTTAAATGTGTGAATAAAAGCTGTTTTATAAACCTCAGAAAAAGAAATTTGCTTTACATTTGATCAATAGTCACATTCGTTTGGATTTCGTCCAGTGCACCTACAGTTGATTCTAATGTCTTTGCGCTCTATATTTAGGATTAAACCAACTAATAATAATACAAAATGCTCACTTCGGTGACTGATTTGAAAGTCAATCTCTGAAGTGAAAACCTCATTTTCATCATCAGTTTTATTATTAGTGTTACATTTATGATACCTGATATTGTTCAGTGTAAACATACATCATCATCCAGAAGCTCATGGACAGGCTCATATTAGTCACAGAGGCCAACAAAACAAAAGCATTATAGCGGTCTAACCGAAACACTGCTTCATTTCAGAAAGCGCTTCAGATACAGTATATGTCCTTGTGTTTTTGTGGAGAATCAATAACACATGCAAGACGGAGCTTCTTTACAGAGCTGTGTGGATTATAACAAGCGCAGGTTTACTTCAACGCCACTCGGATGGTTGTGCAATCGGTAAAGTGCAACAGAAATAAACTACTCGTGGTTTAAATCACTATAGACGGAAAATAAAGTAATCGGTATATACAAAATAAACTGACAAACACCAAAAGATTTGACACGTTCAAGAGTTATGCAATATTAAACCAGTAGTTCACCTAGAAATGAAGAACTAAATCATTTAAATGTAATTAGAATGTAGAGCACGGTTATGAATAACTGTTTGAATTCTAACAAATATCTCTTGTTGAATCACAACATTTGTGGAAAATAAAGGCGAAATAATGTTATTTAAAACACTCGATAGTTTTCCTATGGAGCCAGATGAGTCTTAAAAATAATAGATCTGTAAAAATAAAACTCAAACACGCACAGCACAATTCACAAAATCGAATTCGTTAATTCAAAATACAATTCACAAATGAGCAAATCACATTTATGATCGCCGTTTTAAATTTATGAATTGGATTTGCGCATTTATGAATGGTGTTTTGAATTTCTGAATCACGTTTTAAATTAACGAATTTAATTTGCGCTTTTATGAATGGCGTTTTGAATTAACGAATTTACCTTGCGCATTTATGAATTGCGTTTTGAATTAACGAATTGGATTTGTGCATATATGAGTGGCGTTTTGAATTAACAAATTTAATTTGCATATTTATAAATGGCGTTTTGAATTAACGAATTGGATTTGTGCATTTATGAATGGCGTTTTGAATTAACGAATTTAACTTGAGCATTTATGAATGGCGTTTTGAATTAACAAATTTAATTTGCGCATTTATAAATGGCGTTTTGAATTAATGAATTGTGTTTGTGCATTTATGAATGGCGTTTTGAATTAACAAATTGGATTTATGCATTTATGAATGTGGTTTTGAATTAATGAATTGGATTTGTGCATTTATGAATGGCGTTTTAAATTAACGAATTTAATTTGCTCATTTATGAATGGCGTTTTGAATTAACGAATTGGATTTGTGCATTTATGAGTGGCGTTTTGAATTAACGAATTTGCACATTTATGAATGGCATTTTGAATTAACGAATTTGCGCAATTATGAATGGTGTTTTAAATGTACAAATAGGATTTATGCACTTAAGAATGGCATTTTTAATTTATTAATTGGATTTGCGCATTTATGAATGGTGTTTTGAATTAACGAATGTAATTTGCACATTTATGATTGGCATTTTGAATTAACGAATTGGATTTGCGCATTCATGAAAGGTGTTTTGAATTTACGAATTGAATTTTCTCATTTATGAATGGCATTTTGAATTTACTAATTGGATTTTCGCATTTATGAATCGTGTTTTGAATTTACGAATTGGATTTGTGCATTTATGAATGGTGTTTTGAATTTACGAATTAAATTTTGTAAATGTGAATTGTAAATGTGTCTTGCATTAAATAGACTTACAACCTATATAAATTTAGTAAATTTCAATTGACGCACACTAAAGAAGTGCTATACAGACATATGGTGAGTAACAGGAATTTTCATTTCTGAGTGAACTACACTGTTTCCAAGACAAACGCAGAACATTGAAGTTTAGTATGTAGTAAAATGGTCTATCTATTAAATCAACATTAAAGCTGCGGACTCAGAAACTGATTCAGAAATACATTTAGCGTCAAAATCTGAAAATACTGACTTTGTTAAACAGAAAATGCTTCAGATATTTTAACTCATTTATAGCACTCTAATAATGGAGAACTTTATTCAGATCTAAATCTGAATAATCATCAATACTAGCGCCCGCTATGCCTCTTCAAGTGTATTCAATTACAAATCTAAAGGGATAGTTCACTCAAAAATGACAATTCTCTCATTTATTCACACTCAAGTGAGTCTAAACTTTTGCTGGCATCCAATAAATTCATTCATTCATTTTCTTTTCACATAACAATAAATTCCATAGTCCTTTTTTCCAACTATGAAAGTCAATGTGTCAACATTCTTCAAAACATCTTCTTTTCAGTTCAACAGAAGAAAGAAAGCCATAAAGGTTTAAAACCACTTGAGGGAACGTGAATGAGGCCATTTAAATTTTTAAAGTGAACTATCTCTTTGAAGGAACACTACACTTCTTTGTAAATATGCTCATTTTACAGCTCTCCGAGAGTTTAGGTGTTCAATTTTAACATTTTTGAATCCATTCAGCTGATCCCCTGAGGTGAGCACTTATAGCTCAGCATAAATCATTAAATTGCATTAGACCATTAGCATCTTGTAAAAAAAAAAAAAAAAAAAGAATAAAAACAGATTATTAATAATTTTCCTATTTAAAGGTTGACTTTTATTCTGCCGATCTCCAGGTCTGGCAGGAGCACTTTTAGCTCAGCTTAGCATAAATCCTTGAATCAAATTAGACCATTAGCATCTTGTAAAAGAATAAATAAATCAAAACAGATTTTTGATAATGTTCCTATTTAAAGCTAGACTAATTAAGCCAATCTCCAGATCCGGCTCAAACACTTTTAGCTTAGCTTAGCATAAATTATTGAATCGGATTAGACCATTAGCATCTTGTTAAAAAAAAAATCAAAACAGATTTTTGATAATTTTTCTATTTAAAGCTCAACTCTTATTCTGCCAATCTTCAGATGTGGCACTAGCACTTTTAGCTTAGCTTAGCATAAATCATTGAATCAGATTAGACCATTAGCATCTTGTAAAAAGAAAAATCAAAACAGATTTTTGATCATTTTCTTATTTAAAACCCGACTCTTATCCAGCTAATCTCCAGGTCTGTTAGTGGTACTTTCAGCTTAGCTTAGCATAAATCACTGAATCAGATTGGACCGTTAGCATCTTGTAAAAAAAAAATAAAAAATTAAAAAGTCATATTTTTGATTTTTTTTCTATATAAATCTCGACTCTTATGCAGCTGATCTCCAGATCTAGCACAATCACTTTTAGCTTAGCATAAATCATTGAATCGGATTAGACCATTAGCATCTTGCTAAAAAGAAAAATCAAAACAGATTTTTGATCATTTTCTTATTTAAAACTCGACTCTTATCCAGCTAATCTCCAGGTCTGTTAGTGGTACTTTCATCTTAGCTTAGCATAAATCACTGAATCAGATTGGACCGTTGGCATCTTGTAAAAAAATAAAAAATAATTAAAAAGTCATATTTTTTATTTTTTTTCTATTTAAATCTCGACTCTTAGGCAGCTGATCTCCAGATCTGGCACAATCACTTTTAGCTTAGCATAAATCATTGAATCGGATTAGACCATTAGCATCTTGCTAAAAAAAAAAATCTAGACAGATTATTGATCATTTTCCTATTTAAAGCTCGACTCTTCAGCACTTACATCCTGTACTAAGACCAAAGGAAATTTAAAAGTTGATATTTAGGCTGTATGTATCATTACATACTCATATCACCGCTCCTGCTGCAGCCATGGTCCGGCAGCAAAGTTCCTTGATTATTCCGCCAGAGTGAGAGTATAGTCCCTACCTGTATTGCAACTTTGTTTTTCTTGTGTCTTAGTACACAACGTAACTACAGAAAACCATGATTTAAATAGGAAAACTATCCAAACTCTCTACTGTTTGTTAGAATGAGATGCTAATGGTCTAATCCGATTCAATGATTTATGCTAAGCTAAGCTAAAAGTGCTCCGGTCAGATTCAGAGACCAGCTGAATGGATTCAACCATGGTGAAACTCAACTCTTTAACTTCGGGAGAGTAAAAAAAAAACGAGTTTATTTCCCACACAGAAGTGGAGGAGTGTTCCTTTAAATCGAAGCATCAGACAAGATTCGCATCTGACGTTACGCGTTTCTACTCCGAGTGCATCGTTTTATATCAGTAACTACAAACAAGTCAAGAGTCCTCCTCTATTTCTTCCTCTTCTGCTCTCGTAGTGTTCTCTGCAGCTCCTTTAAGTTCTCCGACAGCAGCTCCACCTCATCAGAGCGTCCGCTTAGCTTAGCGTCGAATATGTACGCACGAATGTTATCGATCTGCTGCAGAAGGAGCTCTTCCTCAATGGCCGTATCATCCTCATCATCCTCATCAAACGGGTTGGTCGAGGATGCAGGAGTCTCATCGGAAACCTCTTTAAATGGGTTACTTCGGTCATCATCATCATCATCATCATCCTCAAATGGGTTTTTAGCCGCATTAGGATCATCGTTTTCCTCCTCAAAAGGGTTGTACTCTTTCTTCCCGTTGGCAGTCTGAGAGTTTGTGGGCTCTTCCTCTACTGGAGAGAAAGGCTCCTCATCGAACGGGTTTTTGGATGGAGATTTGTTCTCCAACGAAGGAGGCGAATGCTCTTGAGTTTTGCTTGTGTCTCCTCTGAGTGAATGCTCTTGAGTTTTGCTTGCTCTGAGTGTAGGATCTTCTGCTTTGTTTGCTCTGAGAGACTGATATTGAGTTTTGTTTGCTCTGAGTGAAGGATCTTCTGCTTTGTTTGCTCTGAGAGACTGATATTGGGCTTTGTTAGCTCTGAATGGCTGCTCTTCAGCTTGGTCAGCGCCTCCTCGGCGTGTATGATCAGTTTTCTCTAGATCTCCTCTGACTGAATGCTCGTCTGTTCTGTCAGTTTCTCCTCGGAGTGGACGCTCTTGAGTTTTGGCGAGTGCTCTGTGCTCCATCTCTCTCTGCTGGAGATGCTGGATCTGCTTCTGCTGGAGGTCCGTCTCGTCCGCCAGCCGCTGGGAGATCTCTATGGCTCTGCTGGTCTGCTGCGCGTCGAACTCGTCCTGGAGCTGCCGCAGGTTCTCCTCTAGCATGCACACCTCGTCTGAGCGGTTTGCGGATCGCGCCTGTCGCAGGAAGGATTCGATGTTCTCGATCTGCTGCAGGAGCGGGTCGTCCTGCTCGGAGCGGGTGTCGGATTGAGGGAGCCAGCCGCCGGCTTTGGTCACGCGTGGAGCTGCGACGTCTCCGTTCACACTGACAGTCGGACGGTTCTTCTCATTCTCCAGTCGACGCTTGTGAGACTCTAAGCTGACCTGAGAAACATCAGACAAATAATGAGTTAGAAGATTACCATCATCATCATCATCTGCCCCCTTATCTGCAGTCTTAAGGCTGATTTATACTTCTGCATCAAGAGCATGTGTATGGTCCGGCGCAGCCTTTGCAAGGTTGCATAGCCCTCGTCGACGCAAACATGCACCCCTCAAAAATGTAAGTACACATTGCAAATAGTGCTGTCACAATACTGGAACTCTGAACCGCTGATGAATCGACCGATCTTCACAGCTTTAAAACGCTCCAGTGTCCCTGTATCCGTGTTTACACTGAGTGAATTTGGTGAACTGATGACCTTCACAGCCAATCAGTCATTCTGTTGAGCACGTGAACACAATGGCAAATCAGCGCTGTTTAAGAACGCGCCTAACAGAAGCTCAAATGTTAGCCGGAAATCATCGTTTAAATAATTTCAGTAGCAATTGCTACCGAATGCCAGTATCGTGACAACACTGGCAGGAACCCCAGACACTTTCCCGAGACATTCATAGTCCCTCCAGCGTATCCTGAATCTAAAGCCGCCTTTCCACTGCACACGACCTTTGGACACGACGGTCGGAATACGCCCCCTTGTGGCAGCCGCACAGTATTTTCAGTGTTGTCGTGCACCACGTGAGCTGATTCTCACGTTGTCCGAAATAAAGGAGTGCAAGAGCAAGAGCCTTTATTCTCTGTGCGTTTACATGGTTTAATGGATGAATGAATACTAGAAACTCAAAGACCGCTAAAATATTGGAGGGAGTGTGGAGACAACATTAAAAAAATTTATATTTTTTGTTACTTTCTTACTTACATTTATGAACAGAATTTTTTTTTGTTAATATAGACTTTTTATAATTTAAAAAAAATAACTAAATAGACTCCTATTTCTCATCTCACGCGCACGGACCGGCTTGGACAACACTGGAATACATCATATCCGGTCGGCAGGTCGCATACGGTCTGGTCGCAGGAGTTTAAATATTTCAACGGATATGCAGCTCAATTCGGATCCAAATTTTCCGCATACGGAGATGATCAGAACTCAACGCAGCTCCCAGACTACTCTCCATTGGAAATGGAATGACTTCCGGTCCGCCGCTTGTCGTTTGTCGTGTGCAGTGGAAAGGAGGCTTAACCCTGGGTCTCCTTCCAGTGGGACAAGCCCAAAGGTAGGCATCTAGGAGGCATCCGAAACAGATGCCCATGCCACCTTAATGACATTCCTGCAATCTCTGAGGATGTACCCTGCCACTCTTTGAAGGAAACTCATTTCGACCGCTTGTATTCGAGATCTTGTCCTTTCAGTCAGGACCCAAACTCTTGACTGTGGTTTAGAGAGGGAATATAGATTGACTGGTAAATTGAGAGCTTTGCCTTTTTGCTTAGCTCCTTTACCACATCGACCTTGCATTACTGCTGCACAGATCCGCCGGTCAATCTCACGCTCCACTATTCTCTCGTGAACAAAACCCCAAGACACTTGAACTCCTACATCTGAGGCAAGGACTCTCCTCTATCTGGAGCCACATGGCCTCGGACTTAGAGATGCACCCCAGTGCATGCTGAACGTCCAGGTCTGAAAAAGCCAACAGGACACCATCATCTGCAAATATCAGAGATTAAATCCTATGGCCCCCAAACCAGACCCCCTCTGGCCCTTCTAGGCTGAGCCTAGAAATTCTGTCCATAAGTGCAGCCCTGCAGAGTCCAACATGCAACACGTCTGACTTATTGCTGGCAATGCGAACCAAATTCCTGCTCTGATCGTACAAATACTCCTAGAGCACCCCCACAGAATGCCTCAAGGGACACAGTTGAATGCCTTCTCCAAGTCCACAAAACACACGTGGACTGGTTGGACATACTTCCATGAACCCTCGAGCACCCTAATTAGGCTATAGAGCTGGTTCAGTGTTCCACTGCCTGGATGAAATCAGAATTGTTCTTCATGAATCCAAGGTTCAACCATTGGCCAGATCCTCCTCTACAGATCCCTGCCATAGACTTTCCCAGGTAGGCTGAGGAGTGTGCTGCCCTCCAGTTTGTCCGGCCTCCTCCTCTACCAGTTGACCAAAGTCACCAGACCAGGCGTTGATCAGTTAACAGCTCTGCCCCTCTCCTTACCAGAGTGTCCGGTCAGAGATCAGATGAAATGACCCTAACGTCAATCATCGACCTCCTGCCTAGAGTGTCCTGGTGCACTGAGGGACACCCTTGTGCTTGAACATAGAGTCCATTATGGACACTAAACTGTGCCTTGCACAGAAGTCCAACAACAGAACAACACTCAGATTCAGATCATGGAGGCCGTTCCTCCCAATCCCTCTCCAGGTATCACTGTCTATCCCACATGGGCGTTGAATCCCCCAGAGAAACAACAGAGTCGTCAGTCTGAGCATCCTTTCCAAAGACTCCAAGATTGCAGTGTTCTCTGCGGTGGTGTTTGGCCCGTAAGAACAAACTACAATGAGAGACCGATCCTGACCTGAAGGCGCAGGGAGGCGACCCTCTCACTGGGGAAAACTCCAACATATGGCAGCTGAGCTGGGGAGCCATAAGCAAGCCCACATCACCCCGCCGCTTTTCACAGTGGACAACTGCAGAGTAGAAGAAACTAGAGCCCTTCTCCAGATGTTGAGCCCAAACTGTGCATGGAGATGAGCCAAACTATCTTTAGCAGGTGTTGTTCAGCCTCCTGCACAAGCTCAGGATCCATTTCTCCTGTCCCAAGAGCCAGTTCCTGTGTCTGAGGATTGACCACTGCCCATTCCATGGGACATCATATAACTGGGTTATGAACTGTCTTTGGATTTGATGTCAATGCAAAACATGTAATAAAAGACAGAATCATCACGGATTGACTGCAGGCTGAGTTTCACTGAAAGGCAGATCAATGGATTGGTTCTGAGGTAGATTCACCTGTCTCTCCTGCTGAGCCCTTTTCTCCTGCTCCACTCTCCTCTTCTCCTTCAGCTCCTCGTATTTCTCCTTGGTCGGGAGAGACGTCAGACCCAACAGCTTCTCCTGCAGGCCGGAAGAAAAACATGGGGTAGAAAGAGAAAACAAAAGCAAACTTCCACCTTTATATGTGTGTGTGTGTGTGTGTGTGTGTGTGCACATGAGCTGTAGTGTGCATCACCTGTATGAAGAGTGTGGCTGTGTATCGCACCATCCTCTGCAGCTGCAGGGCTTTGGGATGAGGCTGAAGCTCCTCTTTCAGCCCCAGTGTTAGGATCTTCTTACTAAAGCAGACAAACACACCCTGATGAGTCTGATCCAGACACACGAATGCAGCTGAAGGCATCATCGCACACATTATAACAGTAGTTATATCATGATAGTATAACAGCCGAGTCTCTGGTCTGTAATTTACCTCAGAACGTCGATCAGCTCGTAGTATTTCTGGATCTCCATCCTCAACGCTGCTGTGCTTTCCAGACTGTAGGTCTTTTCTCCAGCACTGCACACACAAACACAGAGGAAACTAACCATTAAACAAGCGAACAGATGGATATTGAGCATTATAGCTGTGGTTGAGGGCTTACTTGAGCGATTCTGCCATCCTCGTGTACTCTGGAGCTTTAGCTTCAACTTTATCCATACACGTTCTTAACCTCTGCACACCAAACACACACCAAACAGCACATGTGGATGATTAGCACAGCTTATACACCTGCCATGCACCAACTACTGGGGAGGCGGGACTAAAGGTAGCACGGCGCCTTCTGATTGGTCAAATTTAGATACAAACGACTAATGCGTAAAATAAATGTCATGTATCACACGTCTGTGATATGTACAGGTAAAGTCAGAACTATTAGCCCCCTGTATATATTCTGTATTTATTGCAGAGCAGATTTTTTTCAACACATTTCTTAACGTAAGAGATTTACTAACTCATCTCTAATAATTGATTTCTCTTTGCCATGATGACAGTAAATAATATAAGACTAGATATTCTTCAAGACACTAGTATTCAGCTTAAAGTGACATGTAAAGGCTTCACTAGGGTAATTAGGGTAAAGTTAGGGTAATTAGGCAAGTCATTGTATAACAGTGGTTTGTTCTGGAAACAATCCAACACTAATATTGCTAAAGGGGCGAATAATATTGGCCTTAAAATGGCTTTAAAATAATTAAAAACTGCTTTTATTCTAGCCCAAATAAAACAAATCAGACGTTCTCCAGAAGAAAAAATATTATAGGAAATACTGTGAAAATTTCCTGAATCTGTTCAACATCATTTGGGAATTTTTTTTTTTTTTTTTTTTTAAATTGAGTGAAAAGAACATAAATGAATGATATGACAGACATAGTGAAAGACTTTCCACTTTTAAACTTCTGTGACAGAACAATAAAACATTTATACATTTATATATATATATATATATATATATATATATATATATATATATATATATATATATATATATATATATATATATAAATAATGATAAATAGCATGACAATAATAACAGCAACAATATTAAATAAAAAGGAGTAAATAAAATAATAATAGTAAAAAAAATTATAATAAATAAATAAATAAGTAAATAAATAAATAAATTAATAAATAAATAAATTAATTAATTAATAAAAACGTGATAAAAGTAGAGGGGGAAAAAAAGGGGGGGGGGTGGAGGAGGTGATGTCAATGAATTGGAAAAATACAATCAGTGGACAAACTTAGAAGCGACTGAAAGTAAGTTATGAGGGGTTGCCATTTATCATAAAAAGATGTGTAATCGGCAGAGCGAGAGCATCTGATCTTTTCTACCTTCAGAAAGTACATGGTGTCCACAAGCCACTGTGAAACACTTGGTGGTTTAGTCGACTTCCACAGAAATAAGATCCGACGTCTAGCTAATAATGAGGTAAAGGCAAGTACCTCTAACTGTTTAAATGTAAATCGGGTCAAAAATTGCAGTGGTGGGACAGATATACACTTTAGTTTGGAATATTTTTGACAAGGTTTATAATAAAAATAATAATAATTGTTCCAGTAGTTTTGTAGTACTGGGCAGAAAAAATCTAATGAAAATTTGGGAATAAAGAACCAGCGCAGTGCCTGGTTTGTAAATAACGGAAAAGATGTGAAGGTGCGAGTTCTAATTCAGGAAATTTTTAACTTGAACTGCATATTGCAAACACTATTATCGCAATAAATATAATTTTGCAGTTTAAGTCTATCCCTGATGAATGTACTTCTCCAGCATGTACCTCGTAGAGTTTGACGATATCGGGAACGTGGTCTTTCTCCTCCAGTTTCCTCTGGTGCCTCAGCAGGGCGTCCATGCAGTGGTGACAGCAGCGCACGCGGTCCTCGTCCTTCTCCTCCAGCACAGACGTGACAGAAGAGATGCTGCTGATGGAGCCGCGCCGAGACGTCTGCTGCACCACGGCCTGTCCTGTGCTCACCGGGGACCCACCAGAACCCGGAGCCCACAGAGCCTCCCTCGTCCCGCTGGTTAATTTATCTGAAACACAATGGTAGGGTTAAAGATACTAAGGCCCTCACTGCAAGAAGGTCGCTGGCTCGAGTTAGAGTCCCAATTGGCGTTTCTACGTGGAGTTTGCATGTTCTCCCGTGTTGGCGTGGGTTTCCTCCGGGTGCTCCGGTTTCCCCCACAGTCCAAACACATGCGCTATAGGGGAATTGATCAACTGAATTGGCTGTAGTGTATGAGTTTGTGTGTATCCCAGTACTGGGTGGCAGGTGGAAGGGCACCCGCTGTGTAAAACATATGCTGGAATAGTTGGTGGTTCACCAACTATTACCCCGGATAAAAAAGTGACTAAGCCAAAGGGAAAATGTATGATTGAATATACAGTACTCTTAATTTAATCTGAGGTCTGCATACTCACAGGCCATCGGCAGCGGCACAAACTCTGTGCACTTCCGGCACATGATGGATCCGCAGAGTCTGCAATGGTGCCGGCGGTTGCGGAGGTTGAATTTCCCTCCACAATCCGGGCAAAACGGCACGTCCTGATCGTTCACCCACGACACCACTGATTTCTCAAGAGCTGGAACACAAAGCCGCACCGCGGGTTCATTTAACATGACAACATTAAGGAGCTCTCTACTGTATAACCAACGTTTGGCTCACGTACATCTAATCTGCGCTGCGTCCATATTGGTTCTGTCGAAGGAGGTCAGCTGAGGAGGAAAAACAGCAGAAGTAGTAATGAGAAACAATTGATTATATATTGGCTATACAGTTGAAGACTACATTATTTGTTTCCCTCCTGTGAAATTAAATCAAGTATTTCCCAAGTGATGATATGCATTATAGGTGTCATTTCTAATAACTCATTTCTTTGTCTTTGCCATGCTGACAGCAATAATAATTTACTGGTTATTTTTCAACATACTGGAATTCAGCTTAAAGTGGCATTTAAAGGCTTAACTAGGTTTATTAGGCAAGTAACTGGACAAACTTTTTCTTAAGGGGACTGATAATGATTGAAGAAACAAAGCTTTGAAACACCACTAGTGACACCTGCTGGTCAGAACTGTGTAAATGCAGCAAAAACACAGGCAAATATTGCTACCTTTTTAAAGGGCCATGACACCCCCACTTTCGGTTAAAGTCTACTTCAGAATTTTTTCAAAAGATGCATGATTAATGGGCGGAGCTCCGCAAGCATCGGGCAGGAGTGGGCGTGGCCAGCAGGGGAGAACGTGAGCGAACAACTGTTGTTGTCAGTTAGCTCAGAAAATGAGACAAACCGTGAGGAGACGCATGAGTTTATAGTTTACAAAGTTAAAATGCAAAGACATGAACAGTGATTTAATGCCCTGCTACATTTGTTATTCGTAATTTCATATACACATAACCACAATTTATATCCTTATAAAGATAAGTGTGTTCATGTAAACTATAAATGAGGACTTCGCTCTCAATCCCCGTATCCAGCAGACTCAGTGCAGCAGTTCTCCTGTCTATTTTAACCATTAGCCCTGCTGGTAATCTGGAGGATTTAGGCAAACACCGCAGCACGGCGATGTGTCTGAGTGTGAACGAACTCCTGATAAAAGACAGCGTCCGCCATTCTCCAATTCTAGTGCTGCTCTCCCGACAAAAATGCTAGCAGCACGCACACAGCTTTGCTCTGACAAGATCGCGGGGGAAAACATGCAACAAACCCCGTGGATCATGGAAACAAACGCATATGAGCCTTCATGAACGGCTAAATACTGCGCCGTGGTTTCCGTGTCTCTCAGCTCGGGCTTGACACTGGCAGGTCTGGCAGGTCTCATGAATAATTAAGCAGCCGGCTCTTCTCATAGGATAAGAAAACTCCGCTATGAATAATAATGAGAAACCGACGCGTCATCATTGCACTTGCAGTACTGCGCTACGTCGCCGATTTTGATCCCGCCCCAAAAATCATTTTAAACCCGGAAGCTGAAATTAGCTGACCAAAGCTCAAAATTATCCAGTTTTCTCCACAATTAAAGCTGGCAGCTGCTAACATTGTCTTAACTGATGCGCAACACACACACATCTGTTAATATAAAAAGTTCTCCGGGGTGTCCTGAACCTTTAATGCATATAATTAATCCTGGGGTTTTCATCTTTATTGTTATGGGATAGTTAATATTAAAGAAAAAAAAAAAAAACTCAAACCGGGAAACAAATTTAGGTTGCTGTGATCATCATTTCGCTATGACGAAGCACTAACCACAATGTTATAGAAAGCAATCCAACTCACTCCAGTCACTTTCTATTGTGGGAAGGTGCCTTGTTGTCATTTCTGACAAAAAAATAAAAATAAAATAATATCTAAACTTTGCTATGTGACAAAATGTAAATTAAGACACGTTAAAAATCCTGTCTTACAACAGTTTTAGGCATGGTGATCAGTGTTGCCAGATATAGCTGACGTTTTCCAGCCCAAAAGCTGTTCAAACCCCGCCCAAACGCACACGAAAAGGCTCAAAATATGAGATGAATATTTAATTTAATATTTAATTTATTTAAATCAGAAATTAGCATAGCTACTTCAATTGTCAGACTTTTTTAACCATACAGCAACCAACACTAGAAGTCACAGAACCACAATAGTAAAACTACAAGATCACATGATCACATCAATGCACTTACTGTTCTGTAGATTACACGACCTATTCGCCTATATATAGTGGATTTATTTGTTTAAAGATGATATTTAAACAGATTACAAATTATTTGCATTAAATATCCTGTTAAGAATATTAATTAGCTAGTGTGCTCCAATGTGTCTTTAGTAAATCTGGTGAGTCTAAAAATAATTCAACGAAACGAGGACTTGTTTGACGCAACAGAATCAGGATACAGCAGTCCCTGCTTCCACAGCAGCTCTATGGATTCCTAGTATGGATTCAGGTAGATGCATAATGGCGTGAATGCATCAATTCATCCCAGTTGAACCCATTAAAGTGCTGGTTTGTCAATCAGCAAATGCTTCTATGTTCGTTCTTGCTGTCAATTGCAGGAAAAATGGTCGGTACAAGTTTTATGATAAACCTCAGTGAGTTGAACAAATGCGATCTGATTTTGATACAACTTTCCTTTTTCCTTCATCTGCTTGCGGGTGGGCTTACGCAGTTTGTGCTACGCATTGGTCACAACTAACAGAATGGAGTAGGAGCACACAGTTACGTTTTGTTAAAGAAATTGGATATAAAATTAGTTTCAAAACCAGCCAAATTTTGTCAACCCTCCCAAGCCATTATTTACGCGCACAAACAAATCCAAAACCGCTCAATTGGGTGGGAAAACGCCCAATCTGGCAACACTGATGATGATAAATGTTCCAGTTGACATTTCCTCCAGTGGGCGGGGCCTTAGTTTTTTAATGTGAGATGTTGGGTTCTACTTTTGTGTCCCCAAATGCTTGTTTTTTGGGATTGACCGGTTATAAAAACTTACTTCTGGATTTTTTTTTTTTGCTTGTCTACTATATTCTATTTCTATCCTATTCATTTATTTTTTTTATTTGTCAGAAACGACAAGGAGGCACCCTCCTGCAATAGAAAGTCAATGGAGTGAGTTGGATTGTTTACCTCTCCCGTTGGGGCGTGGGTCCTAAATGCTCACTGTCTCTCTAGGCAAACTTTGAAATTATAACCTACAGTACAAATGCTTTATTTTCTATTATTAAATATTAAGTGTCTGTATGATAGGATTTGTTTTTTAAATCAAGGTATCCCCCAACCCCCCCCCAAAAATATTGACCACAGCAGTTTTTACATTTATATTTATTATTCCAGCCAAACTAAAATAAATAATATAAAAATATAAGGTACAATTATATTTTTAATAGTATATTAATATTTATAATTGTTATTATATATTATTATATTATAATTGTAATTGTAGTATTTAATATTTTTAATTGTTAATAGTACAATTCGCACTATTAACAAATCATTAACTAACACTTTTAGCTCAATAAACTATTAACAAGCTGCTTATTAATAGCTATTATTTAGTAAGGTATTTGGCGTAGAATAAGATCATACTTTATAAGTGCTAATAAACAGTTCATATCTTAATAATAGGCAGGCTATAAGCCAGTAGTAAATGCTATGACCTGTTACAACCTAGTGTTGCCAAATATAGGAATATGCATTAATAAAGCATTTATTAACACTCAAAGTAACTATTATTGTAACCAAGTACCATATTGCTGAAAAACGAGACGTATAAATATTACTTTCAACAGTTTATTAATCACTTAAATGCGTAAATGATCTAATAAACTGGTTTGTAAATAATCTTCTGTGATATAAATGAAATGATCAAATTAGGTTTTTAGGTGTTGAGTGTTCAAATTAGGTGATTAGGTGTTCAGTACACAACTCCTCACCTTTTCCAGCCGGATGATGCATTTGTTGACTTCAATAACGTAATGGTCAATCCTCGCAGCTCTTTGCTTCTTGAAATAGTCCAAGTGACTGCGCGTGGCTCCTGTTTGAACACAAGACTCATTACAGTCTGACAATGGTCCGAACTAGGGGTGTGTGAGACATTTATAATCGCTTAAACAACAGCATAAATAGTATTATTATTTTTTTTTTCTACAATGGAAGTTGATGGTTCCAGCATTCTTCTAAATATCTTCTTTTGCGTTCAACAGAGAAAGGAACTCATAAAGGTATTGAACCCCTCGAGAGAGAGTAAATGGTGAGTAAATGTTAATTTTTGTGTGAACTACCCCTTTAGCTCGGTGTGTGTCGTTAGCGAGGGTCTCACCGAGCTCCTGCGGCTCCCACATGTACGGATCGACTCCTCCATAATAAAAGGACTCGTAGCTGCTGTCTGTGCGCTCGTCTCCGTCCCGCTTCAGCAGCTTGTCTTTGGCTTTCTTTGCCTTTTGCACCAAGTCTGAGAAATAACATGGGAAATATATAAAGAAACCCTCATTGTATCACCATGACAGACTTAATGGCTAATTTCACAACATGGTTATTATTAAACTAAAATCACAACATTTAAAGGGCCAGTTCACCCAAACATGTTAATGCACTTACTATTTACTCCCCTTCAAGTGGTTTTAAACCTTTATGGGTTTCTTTCTTCTGTTGAACACTAAAGAAGATATTATGAAGAAAGCTGGAAACCACTGATTTACATAGCAGGAAAACAAATACTGTGTAAGTCAATGGTTACAGGTTTCCAACATTTTTTTAAATATCTGCTTTTGTGTTCAACAGATGAAAGAAACTTAAACAGGTTTGAAACAAGTGAAGGGTGAGCAAATGATGACAATATTTTCAGTTTTTGGTAACAAAACTAATAAAAAAAAACATGGGGGAAATCTAACTTTGGTCTGACAAAAATCTGACAAATAAATTACTGTTTGTTGTTACTGTTTGTATGTGTTGCTTTTTAGGCTTTGATTGATGATGCAACTAATATAAACAAATAAATAAAGAAAAAATCAGATTTAATTGCTTTTTATTTTGGTTTGATGTTATGACACAACTAATTTAAATGATATTTTATGTATGATGTTTTTGTTCAAAATTAAATAAATCAAATCAGTTTAAACAAATAAATAAAGGGGAAAAATCTGATTTAATTGCTTTTTATTTTGGTTTGATGTTTTGCACTATTGTTGTGACAAAAAACATGTACATAAATCTGATTTAATTGCTTTTTTGTCTTTGATGTTATGATACAACTAATATAAACAAATAAATAAAGAAAAAAATAATCTGATTTAATTGCTTTTTTATTTTGGTTTGATGTTTTGCACTATTGTTGTGACAAAAAGCATGCAAAAAGTCTGATTTAATTGCTTTTTGTCTTTGATGATATGATACAACTAATATATACAATTAATAAAGAAAAATCATCTGATTTAATTGCTTTTTTGTCTTTGATGTTATGATGCAACTAATATAAACAAATAAATAAATAAAAATCTGATTTAATTGCTTTTTATTTTGGTTTGATGTTTTGCACTGTTGTTGTGACAAAAAGCATGCAAAAAGTCTGATTTAACTGCTTTTTTTGTCTTTGATATTATGATAC